CTAGCTGTTTTACTGCAATATCCAGACTTGGCGTAAATGACAAAATTGTGGAAATAAAAAGAGGTTCGCCTGGAAAACGTGCCGAAACGTGGGTAGAAACAAACGATGTGCAGGGGTGGGTCATTCAGCTTGGTGGGCGAACACCTCCCAACCACAATGACTATGGGGACACCACCACAGCCACCGACTCCCTACTTCCTCTAAAACCCTTTCATACATAATTGGAAAATTAACGTGCGTTGATTAACTAAACTACCTAATCTTTGATTAAGTGAAACCTAACATGACGTAAAATAATGTGTTGTATATTAGTTATTTAATAACTATACAAGAATTTAAACATCGCACATGTATTTAGTATATATACCTATCTATATATACCATAGAAGGTATATACCTATATACTAAACAATACTGTATCTCTACTGAAGTGAAGATGAATACGCCACACTCCTAAGGTAAACTACAATCGTTGGGCAAGACGAGTGGAAGCATTACGCTAACATCCGCCGACCTAAGAGGTAGACGGAAGAATGACGTTCGACATCACGTTGGCTTAAAATGAATGTAGGTGGCAAGAGCTAAACAGGAATCAAAAATGGAAAGGAAATATATGTCCGAAGATGGATAAATTAAGAGTTCCTATTAGAGACAGCTTTGTACATTTGTTATTATTATTATGAATAATTTTATTTATATGTATAGATAGATAATTATAATATTAAGAGAACGATAGTGGACATATCTACTTATAAGGTAAGTAAATTTGGGAACTGAATCGATTTGAGAAATACTTTCATTCTTTATATTCATCTATTACATTATGTTAAAAGGTACTTACAAAACTTAGAAAGTCATAAGTACCCAGGAGAAGACGAAGCTCACTTACTTTTGCTTATAATGTTCCATCAAAGTGTGCAGAAATGCGTGAAACATTATTCCTAATGTCTCATACACAAGAGCTGTCGCGCCCTACATCTATTGAGATGAAAATGTACGATGGTCCGCCGACTCAGATGGGACCATTTCTCTTTATAGCTGTACTGTCCCTTGGATAAAGTGGCCTGGAGAATGTTATTCAACGTAAAGGACTTGTATATTTATTATAACGTTAGTGTTATATATACATACAATAGCAACATTAAAACAATATAACAGCTAATAAATATATCACATACTTTACTATATGGTCATCTACTATAGTCTAAATAAGAGTCTTTACAGTAATATTAAACTCCTAGTCGCTTAAAACACTACGAAGCGACATATTAGAGAATTAATTTGTGAGAAATAATGAATTCGCATAATTGGCATTTTGAGCATTCTATCACGAATCGATTGAACTAAATGAAAAAGGACCAAAGCTTAATAATAAACACCGAATATTGATCGATATTTAATGAAAAATAGTTTACTAACTACTACCTAAACTATTTAATAATAAAATGCGTTTATAACCAAAAGATTGTTATCCATGATCAAAGTTTGGTTTTTCGTAGAGTAACTTAACTAATTTAGTTAAGCATTTTTCCAGTGTATGTGCAATTAATATAATTATTGTGATTTGATATTTTTTGCTTATATATTATATATGGATATTTGTAATAAAATTTTAGGTAACATTTCAGATTGTAAGATTAATGTTGGTACGTAAAATTGTATTACAAACGTTGTTGTCGCCAGACATTAACCGAATCTAAACGATTTCCCGAAGAGTGGTTTGCAAGAAAGGTAACGAAGAGACTAACTGCTTAGTATTCCATGGATTCACATGGTGTAGCAGGAAAACTCCGAGCATTTCCCTGGATGACCCGAGTGTAAGTTTAAGGGACCGTCGTACGTACGTCAACACTTACCTTCACAATATCGCTGCCCAGCCAAATCTGGTAGGAGCCTGCTGGTACAGCTTTAAATATATTTTCTAGTATAGAACTGTAAGATCTTTTAGAAGATTGTAGAGAGGTTATGTTGGTATTCCTCTCGCTCTCTCTTCAATGGCATATAAATGAACCAGGTAGCCATTTTTAGTTAATTCGTTTATTAGCCCGTAATATTTATTTATTTTTGCTAGATGGTCTTTACGTATGTTCCCCATGGTACAAGGAGCTTTATCAGTACTATACCTTGGAATCTGGCGTGGATGATACAGTAGAGTCCTATTTGTACATAATATACTTATTACTTGATATGATATCCATGGTGTTTATATCTAATCAAACGGACGCTGAACCACATACCCATCAACTTTACTATTAGTACCTTAGATATGAATATTATTTTATACTGAATTCAGTTTTACTGAATAAGTACGTATACCTGCTTATCTATAAACTTACGACGTTAATTCTACGCAGTTGGTTCCTACGCATTTATTCCCTGTCAGGTACATTTCGTAGCACGCACAGTTTTCCTTTGTACTAAGTACAAAATATTGTTATTGTTCTTTTGTAGATAGTTACATCTAGTTTATAAGTACATTGTTTGATAGGATTTTATATAACGTAGTATAATAGTATGTACGTACATATTTATTAAAGTCAGCTTCTTTTAGTGAAACATAATCTGACTACACCTGGAATAGTAGAATCTAGGTACCTTTCTTAGAGTTAAAGGAAGAATTAAATAAGTTCTAGAGATTACTACATACAGCACAAAAAGTCACAAAATCTAGAATCTTGTTAGGTATTACAAGAGTTATTGTACCTAGTATGATTATAAATAACTATAAAATTATATAGTATTTTTAAATATTGAAATATTAACTACACCTATATAAGATATTACGTCTAAGCACCAATGCAGTGATTTCAATAGCTTCTTTTACGAACGATCTCTTGAAAATAAGAATTTCTGACTTGAAATTTAATAAAATGGGCAGTAGGTATATATAGGTACAAAATGTAGTCAGATTCGCTCCTTTTCGTGATTATTGTTAATAAAAGGATATATACCTACTGGGAGTTTATAGCCTAAACGCGTGAATGTGAATAGTTCTATTGTTGTTTTCAGAACAAATAAGTAGGTCGACGTAATAAGATGCTTCCCTTAGACAAGTAACGTTTTCAATACATATTAAATATCAAAGGTTACCTACGTGGATACCACAGATACCTACTTGCTTATTACGATATACTAGTATATTGGAATTCGCTTTGTAGTGCCGGTACTAAAGCCTTCATTTGTTTGCCTATAAATCAATGTATACATGCCACTATAATCAAAAGCAATATAAAAATAGCTGTAGGAAACGCACTGGATCACTACCTAAATCTCCTCATGTGTAACAAAGTCAGCTGGTCTCTAAACTAATTCAGATCCAATTATATGGGAAAGCGCCGTTTCGTACCTTTTCGTGCTTTCAATATTTTCTTTTTAAATAAGGATAATGGAATCATCGTTTGGTGAACTCGCCTTTGTTAACTACATATATAAATATATACATATATATCTATGCTAACGTAATCAGTGCAGATTGATAAGATGAATATGACGTCAGTTCAGTCAGCCCTTCGTGGCGAAATCACCAGGAATTAACCACAGTTGTTTTTAATTGCAGATCTCATGGAGGTCGCTCTAAATGGTAGGTATGTATATCCGTGTCTATTATGTATTGTTGATCACGGGTGAAGTTTATTTGATTTCTAGTTAAATAAGGCGTACTTTATAATATTCACATTCCATAAAAATACTTTATGCAGGGTACCTGCATAGTAGATACACATAATAATGTATTTGTAATATTTGGTTAATGTAATTCTGCCGACATGTTTGACCGTTTTCATATTTATATAGATAATGTAGATAGCCACCTACATAACCGAGATTCCTATTACGTGTGTGTAAACAATATCATTCGTTTACTACAAACAAAGCCATTATGATGCAATATGTATCTAGTACAAGATTACAATTGCGAAGTAGAAAGTATTATAATGAAATTTATCTACCGAATAATGTCTGTGATTAGTAGTGATTACCTATATACCTACGTATACACAAATTCAGTAACTAGATGTAAGTGTGATAAAGTCTAATTTCCGAGAGTTAATATTAATTCCGTAAGTAGCTATAAGAAGAGGGGAGAATAAGTATTTAAAAATGTAACGGTAAATTTTATCCATGTCTGGCAATCTACTCTTCATATTTCCCCAAATTTTATTTAAGTAGGTCGTGACATAGTGAAGTGTCAACTGCCCATTTAAAAAACTGAAGATCACAACATCTGCTTATACATTATTAATCGTGAGTGAATATTGAATAAAAAAAATGAAAGAACACGTCGAAAACGCAGTGACCGGAAGTATTCTGAGATAATAACAAACAATTGTAGATCGAGACCGCGGCGCGGCGTAGCATCAGAAAATTCAATAACAATGACGTCGCCAAACGAGCTTGAATACTCGTAAACAGAGAGCATTTCCTTTATCTTATCTCCAAGACGGCATTAAAGAGAATTTAGTGGGAATTGCGTATAGATTTGGAGGAAATAAACACTTTATTTCTTTAATGGACCAAAATAATTCACTTGGATCTATTAAAATTATTTTTTTTTGTAATTTGAGATTTACTTTTGCACATCTGTACCTAGATGTATTAGTTTACTACGTGTGTACTATTCTGATTATTCTAAAGCTCAAATAATTCTCGGTTCTTTTTGAACGGTTTTTAAATACCTATTTAAATGTTATTATATTTTTTCTAACAAAATCTTTTTATCATGTAAACACATAAATATAGGTACGTCGAAAAACTTGCATAAGTCCTGTCTATCCGCGAAAGGTAAATAAAAATCTAATAATAGGTCAGGAAAAATCAGAACGCATGGCACGTTAAACAGTTTTAATGGAATGTTGAATTTAGGATTAAAGAAACAAATCTACCCTGGGGTGCACGTTACATTATGGATTTAAATACCATGACCATTATCTAATGTTTACAAACATTTCCTCGTATGAAATAAAATTATTAGATTACATGCATATCGGAACAGGACTACTTACATTATTGCGGAAATAGGTGTATAATAGTTCCAAATAGGTTGATTTGAAGCACAGCCGGGCGCCGGGCGCCACCCTCGCACACTAACCGACGGCGGAGCGCTCCACGCCGGCAGAGGGCGCCACCGCTCTCGACGAACAACCTCCTCTCCACAACCATCGATCCACCCTCCGCTTCGCCTCCCTCTGCAGCTGAATAAGCTCTTGTTCACATGACGTTAGTGCCCATACTCTAATATTTGAATGACGTGTTTTGAAGGGTCGTCTCTAGCGGCAATCTCGTGCTGACGTAGAGTTCGTAATGGTGATTGCTGGGCATTAGATATATCTTCTATATTATGATACATCCGTATCATAATAATAAACGTGGGATAAAGAATTTGTTTGAATTAGTTCTTAATGTCCTTCAACTACCTAAAATGTATGGAATAAAACACGAAAGCTATCAATATCAGGTAGATACTACCTACCGATTGATACCTAACTATAATTGCATAAAACAGTACATTTTTTCTTTCTGTTATGTCTTTATTATACTTTCACCACAGACTCGATAATATTGCTTACTTTAACGTACTTTTTTTCATACCTAGGGATTTTTTATTGCTTTTTAGTTCAAGAAAGGAGTTTTTTCTCGCTTACTGGAAAAAATAATTGATTATATAAATTTTTTATTATTATAATTGATTATAAAAATTATAGTTGCTCACTATCATTTCGCCTGTAATTTAAACTTACAATTCTACAAATACCTACGTTGGAATAAAATTACATACATATACGTAACATTAATACATACAAATATACGTTACAGACATACGTAGTTTTTTTTCTTAATATGATTTTTAAATGTTTTAGACTTCTGTACAAGTATACCTACATAAGTAAAACCAGTTTGAATAGGTGTGGCGAATTGGTATTCCTATCAAAGTAGTATTTCTGGAAGCGATTTATATATTTCAGGATACTCATTGATATTAATGATAAATTAAAGAACTTCATTAACAAACAGTATAACTTTATTTGTATACGAAATTAAATCACAACATCACAGAGGTGCACAGCGAAAGATGAAGCGAACTCCATAATGTTGTTTTAAAAATAAATATATCTATAATTCCTAAAATATTTGACTAGAATTAAAAACTAAGGTAAAATTTTGACACTGTACTAGATATTGTTAGTTCATTAAACAAATTGAAATATAAAGTTCTGCTCATATGATTTTTTAATTATTGTGAACACTTCACGAACAAAATTACAGTTTTTAGTGTCTATTCTAAATAAATTAATGCGAACATTTCCAAAAAGTATACTAAACATAATGGTATTGTTACATTTTAAACCTATATAAAAAAACGGAACAGTTCGGATTCTACGTTTTTGCAAAAATGTTGCCACGGTACACATACTCACTTATACAACATATTAACATATAAAACATATTTCGTTCGCTGTAACTCTCGCTGCGTGACCTGTACAATATCGGTACTTATCTCACTTTTGTACAATTACTTTACGTAATATAAAATTAATTGACAAATATAATATATTCTGTACAGATTTATTTAAATATACAATAATATTATGATATGTACCATCACAAATACAAAGTTTTCTCTCCGGGTGAGGTCATAAGGGATACGAAGTCCACTTTATGGTAAGCGATACTTAAAGAGAAAGGTAAACTAAATATATAGTTCTATACAGGAATAATAAGTCGGTACAGAACAGTAAGGAAAATCACAGGAAGTTGCGAGTGATCATTAGGTAATCAAAGGAAAATATTTTTATTAATAGAACAGTATCCTCTTCGCAGCTAACTTATTTCACGTTAGTTTTCTGAACAATTGGTGCAACAAAGGAGATCAGTGAAAATGATAATTTAATAATATTAAAGAACTAAATCAACTATAGAAACTATAAAATTAGTTTCTACTGTTTATTAATAATATTAACTACACATAAGTAACCATTTTGACCATTTCAACGGTAAACACACAGATTAAAAGTTTACATAAATTGTATTCAATATTTAAAAAATCCATTTAGATATCCATCCACCTATAACAAATATAAAATTGTTTAATCATTTTAAAATTGTCTTAATGGATTACAAAAGTGTTGTATCGACACTTTTTAAATTGAATATTCGAAATTAGTGCTATTCTTTTACATATAGACGAAGGTTGCAATCTTTCGTCATATTGGCCATTAGTTTTACTGTCATACTATTTTATACAAATATATTAAGATTTTCTAAAATCATCGCCTGAAGAAGATCGTCTTTATATTTATGTATAGTTAAAATTCTGTACCAAACGTATTTATGGTTACTGCTTAGTGGACACCCAAACAATTATAGTTAACCCGATTACGTTACGTTAAGTTTGTAAAGTTTATCAAAGGATATATATTATATTATAGATATCTACTGTGTTACATTGATATTAAAAATTAAATAAAGTTTACGCATTTATTCTTATAATATACCTATAGACGTAATTATATATAATAAACATAAATATTGTCAGAATATATGTTGTTGTACGTACAAACTTTCCTAACGAAAACAGTACCATATAAAGTATATTTTAATTCTGATCGCAGCCGGGCGCTGTACTAGAAGAATAAAACAAATTTAATTTATTGGTACTTTTAAAGAAATAATTATAAATTTATCCAATAAAATCTTTCGCAAAATAAATACTCGTCAATTTTGAAATTATTTGTAAATTTTACAATTTGTTGCTATAAATATATAAAAGATATCGGTTTAGATAAATATACATTTTTTATTAATTTTTACATAAAAGAACGATTTTGCCGAATTTCTTAATAACAAAATAATCTTGATGAATACAACTGAAAAGGAACTTTTCTTTTACAAATACATATCCTCATAATATTACTAAAATGATAATATTTAAACATTTTTTTTTAAAATAGGTTACAACGCGGGAAGGTCCGACTCGTGTTTTCCTTAAATTTATAATGACTTTATCAATGACTAAAATAAGTCAATTAAAATTTTAATTTAATATATAGCTTAGGCATGAATATGCATAAGATAAAAAGTGTAGCCAAAACAAATGAGTATTCTATTATCTTAAAAGAAATATAATTGCATTTACAGTATTTAGAAGAAAATATTGTTTAATAACACACATAACAGATTGTATGTCCGAAACAATAAACATACTTAATTATAATCTTTAAGTTTTCAATTGTAAACAAAACGTATTATTTCTCACTATATACAATATTATTCTTTTCCTATATTTAAATTCCTATATTTCTCGTTCCTAACCTATTCAATAGAAACGAGTGTCATAAACTTCTATTACACAACCCTTTTATAAATAGCCTCAGGTATATTCAGCACAAAACCTATCTGATCATTATAGGTCAGTTTAGTAAAAGGTTGCATCTTTACTAAACTATGTTTATCTATTTCTAAGTATTATCTAAAAGCATTCATCTACTTCTTGCATTCGCTATTCTTTTTATATCCGTAAAAATAATATTACTAATCCAAATATGCCTAAAACAATTTCCTATTATTTATACACTATATACAAATATGTATTTTAGTTCATTATGCGTATATAACAATGTACTCATTACGAGAACAATATATTAATATATTCATACTTCATACACCTATCCTAAACAAACAATTTATTTTTACAAATGCATTTCATTGTTATCAAATTTTAGTCAATACTATTAACTAAATAGTTATAACGAAAGACAATTTAAATATTTTACTAAATGGTAACAAAGTATATATATATATATATATATAATATAAGCACGAAACGAGTAAGTAGAACGTGCTTTCAATAGATACAGTAATATATCCGATATTCGATAAAAATCGAGATTTTCACAACAGATATATTCATTACGAGAAAGTATAATTTCTTAAGTATTTACAGCCCACGCCATAAACTACTGTATATTTCTCATTTCTCTTATTCATATTTTTTTTAAATAGTTATCCGCGTTTTGCCATTCTTATTTGCTATGGAATCCAATACTGTGAACATATTGCAATACAGATACTGTTCTCTTGGCCAAAAATGAGGCTTTGAACTTTAAATATAGCGTCTTAGTCACATAAACATGAATGTTAGGAATATTGAAATCATTCTTACGTTTTTAAACAGAACTACAAATTAAATTATTATAATTTTATATTTTTTTGACTAACATGTAGACTTTTGTGGATATGCATAATATTTTATTTTATAAATGTGTATATTATTAATTTACTAATGCGTATATACATTACCCAATGAAAAAATACTTTGGCAGTTATTAAGTATAAAGTTAACGGTAAATTACTTTTTGGCCCTATAAATTTATTACAATACAATACGAATAAGGAATTGAAAACAATATGTAAAAAATGTTTAATTTTAAAACATTTGGAATCTAATGACTTATTGGAATTATTGTTATTTTTCTTAACTCTAAAATACTAAAAAAGATACAGACTATGTAGGTACAGATTACATTACTCATTGTTTGATAATGGTAAAAATATTATCTATAATTTTATTTCTTATCGTATATATACTACTAGTTCTTTAGTTTACGAATAGTAGGAAATAATCGTTTCGTTTAGTATACTACTGACAATAAGTCGATACTTACAACCATCATTTATGTACTGTCGTATGAATATTTCTAACAAACCTAATTTTTTTTATATTTAATGTCACTGTCCCTTTTATATCTATATTAATATTATAAATGCGAAAGTGTGTCTGTCGGCTTGTTACCTTTGTATTAATCTGAATGGATGTTAATGAAATTTGACATAAGAAATATCTTATCACTATAGACACAGACTTTTATTAAAAATACAGGCCGAGTCGAGGGTAACAGCTAAATAAGATATATCTTTTAATCCATCAATAGTCACATTTGATTTTATTTTTCATTTACAAATAAACTTTAAATAAACATTTCGACATCAAGTATATTTTCTATATTTTGTCCCGTATCTACATCAAGTCCGTGCAGCAGTCTTTACACAGTTGGCAAACATATATTAATTATGGAATTTATTTATATCTTTAGTTGTCTAGTCCTTACAATAGCGCATGCAATATCTACGAACTAGAAATTTGATTACATTCATGTGCATTTATTAGTATTTAGTACTAAGTTTCTTAAATGGCAGTAGGCGCGACAAATAGTCTAAAGGCCAAGTCTTTGGTGTTAATATAGACTGCACTGGGAAGTAACAAAATGAAAAAGATTTGGTTTCTAATATCTATACAGGTATTCATGAGGTGTAAAGGCGAAATAATTAAAGTAGGGGTTATTTAGATTTCATAAAATAAACTGTAATAGACACGGAGGTTTAAACTGTTCAGCTGTTATTATAGAAGGTATTATGACATGTAATATCTTAAGTTAAGTTTAATTTTAACTTATATCGCTAACACGCAATTGCAAGCAATCTTTAAGACATTTACTAACTTTTCTGATATAAAAATGTATCTCTCGTATATATTAAAGATATAAAATCTTATTAATTAATTAAAACTCTCTATGCATTGTCCAAATGGAAGCAGTCGTGAATACTTATAGGTCATATACATTATGGTCTAGATATACTAAAGCTGAATTTAAATCACTATATCGTCCCGTTATTTTATCTAAATTTATATAGATTTACATCTCGATATGAACACCTATGCTATACATATATATAGTCATTCACAGAACTTGATGTATTTTTCAGTGTTTGTTTTCTTATATTTTTATCCCAATAGGTTGCAGGTATGTTGTAGGATAAAATATACTTACTACTACCAGTGGCCAGTAGTGTCTAATGGATATTGATAGACTCCAATACTTAACATATAATATACATAGGTACATGGTGCATCTAATTTCCTCAAAGTGAACACATTACACATTTATATACAAGATATTTATAAAGTAATTGTAAATTTATAAGGTACCTACATGGATCATAAATATATTCTAAATATTATACAACATTTTGTACTGACAAAATACATTTAAAATTGTAGATAGGACATAATAAATCATATTATGTTATAATCAAAGATGACTTTTAGTATTAAAGTGGGTATTAGTAATTTATCGTTAAATAAATGTTTTGTTATAGACCTAATAAATTTAAATATCATATTAGTTCTATCTGTACTTGACCACAAAAATAATTATATTCACTAAGAATATATTACAAATTTCATTAACATAATATTTGTATAAATATGATATATACAAATATGATACATATTTCATTATACTATCCTATTATTTGTAAGACTGCCAGTCATATCCATTTTATTCACAGCAAAATTAATCACATGTACACAATAATGTATGTACATATATTACTAATTAATTATACAACAGAAATATTCCAAGTATCCTTTTAATGTACTTGTAACTAATAAACTTAAATAGTTCACTAGTGTATAAATATTATATCATTAATAATATAAAACAGGAGGACAATATTTCTAAATTAATTTTATTACAGTACATATTATAGTTCAAACCACTAATTGCCAGTCGATAAATAAATTTGAACATGTAACTATGGCATATAAATAGAATATATTAGGACTGAATTAACATCTAATAAAAACTACAATGTTATTGTAGTCAGTAGAAAATATTACAGATATTACAAAATATAAAAACAGTTTCTGTAAACAGAAAACACAACACTATCCTTATATACCTGGCAATTTATGATATTGGACAACATAAGGTCCTAAGTAGGACAACCATGGTTTCTTCTTTTGAACAATTTTAGTCCTAATATATTCTAAATATAATAGTTGGATTAATTTCGTTTGTACAATTACAAAAACATTACTTAAATAATGATGTATAGGTTAGGTTACTACACGACTATCCTATTTTTATGAGACATCGTTTGCTCGTACTAGCAATATAATTATATTACGAAAAAATTGAAATATTATAAAACAGGACAAAACGCCTTTAGGATTTCACAAATATAAATCGTTGGTCGTACATTAATTTAGGCACAGATCCATAGCACCGTAAACCTACGGAAATGTCCATAATTACACATTAGTGAGTAGAAATGAAACGTGTTGCTGATATATTAGTCCACGAGCGAATCTAATCTCGTCAATCATTTCTTCTCGGCCGATAACTTTTAATATAACGGTTGAAATAGTTGTATTATGAAGCCTAGTTAAAGTCAGCTGCAGCTCCGAGTGTGAGTTGACGAGCAGGACTCTCGTAAACTTTTTTTTTATAAAAATAGACCATAACTTTAATGTTCATAAATGTCTTTATAGATTAAACATCCAGTTAAAATAAATTTGATAAATAAGAATTAAAAATGAACTTTATAGTTATAGTGAATAAGGTCTATTTTTATCAACATATAAAGTTTGTGAGGTTCCTGTTCCTCACTCGACCCTCGGAACCGCAGCTGACTTTCTCTAGGCTGTATTATTATACACAGGTACAAGTAGCAACAATTATCAACCTGAAGAAAATTGGTCAAACGGACTTGGCTCACGGGTTATATTCTCTAATATGGATTGCCTCTGTCATAAACATCTGTACATTATATTTTGACCAACATTCACTTACAGTCCAGCACTTAGAATACATGTGTAAGGTTCTTCGGTGCAAATATACAATAACAAGCAAAAGGTAACTACACCTTGGCAGTTACTTGGTAATATGGAGAAGTTTTCTGTCATAAATTTGACGGAAGAAATAGGAAGGGTAGAGATAATGCGCGTGCGCAGCGGCTGACTACAGCGAGGCGGGCGCGGGCGGAGGCGAGGGCGGGTGCGGGGGCGGGGCCGGGGCCGGGGCCGGGGCCGGGGGCGGGGGGTGCGCGGGCGGCGCGGGGCGGGGGCTATAAGTCGGTCTCGGTCCACTGCTAGTCGCCCCGCCGGGTCCGCCGCGCCGCAGCCGTGTTGTGCCGGTACACCCACACCTGGAACGGGAGCAATTTGTTGCTGAATTATGAATATATAGAAGAATATGTATGTCTTTCACTCACATATATCTAAATATGAAAATGTTATAGAAATTGCGTCAAGTAGCATATACCGGATGGATTCTTTGCCGTTCGGAGTTAGGCCTATATCATTAAGAATAAAGAACCTATATAAAGTAGAACCAATACAAGCATATATGTACGTGTAGGTTTCTATTTTAGTGTGATTTAAATTTTGCATGAATTTTCAGACTACACTAAAGCTGTTGGCCGCAGCTGGCCTTTATAGCTCTACCAGACGATACGGTAAGCATACATATCCCGTGCTATACAGATGCCTGCAAAGTGTTTTTTTTTATTCCAAGTAGTGCGACTTTGACTGGAAGACACAAGTGAATGTCTTTTTCCTATAAAGGAGATTTTATACAAAGAAGTCTGTATCACCTACTTCAGTAGCAGTAAATGGCTTTGCAAGCTGGGTTTCGGTTGAACAGTGAAATTACAAGGTAAACATGCCCTTTGTCCTCCAAAATAACAATGCATTATACCTATTAGGGAAACCATGGCGTCATATGATGTGACCTCCGTGGTTGTTATTCATGTATATTGGCGACAGCTGCCACTTATTATCAAGTGGGTCGTCAGTTACTTTGCCATTCCAGACACGAAAGTAATTTAGAATAGTCGGGTTTAAACTAGCATTAACAAAAAACTTACTTGGAAGAGTATAACAATATCTAAGGCGACTTGAAGTCCTCCACACACCCAAAATTGTGTAGGCGCTTCCCTTACTACAAAATATACAGTCTTGAATATGTCGCCGCATGTCCACATTACAACCATACTCAAGCTAAAAATAATAATATAATACCATTAATTACAAATTGTTTTATCACATAATAATAACTCTCGATGATACGACACAGCGCTATCTAGTTCCTAGCTTGGGAACAGACTATGTTCTAGACATCTTATAAAATACTTAGACACATTTTTTTGTAAGTACATACCAAATATACATAGAAAACACCCAGATCGATACAAACAATAATATTCACAAATACAGAGACATAATTAATAATCTTAGTCCCCACAGAGAGATACCTCAACGCGTATACCATATTGTGAAGCCCGTAATGCATTCTTTAAACACTTTATTGCAATTAATACAGAAAAGTATTCATTAAAAACAAATTAAACACCCATTACAAAGGACTGTCTTATCGCTAGCACTCTCAGTTAGACAATCTTCTTCTAGACGTATTTATAGTTAGGTATCGTATATGTATCATTTTTCATTAGCCTGTTTGTCATTGTAATTGTATGTAAAATATTAATACCGAAAAAAAAAATTATCATTATTTTACTATTAAAAAAAGAAATAGATAGTAAATTATTATATATTACGTTTAATGAATTTATATTTAATGAAAAGAACAAATTAATCACCTCATCCCCTCTGTGCTTTTATTCTGGAGATTCTTAGCGATCTGTGGAGATCCTAGCATAGCTTCAGTGAAAACAGCCAGAAAGCCAATAAGCTCAACGAATGGAGAGAATTCTATAAGTAGATATGTAACAGCAGCCCCAAAGACGGAGAATACCAGCATGCAGTCTACATAGCTCTGGAAATCGGTCCAGGCCCAAAAGTATTTTCGATCCATATCTGTAAAAAAATATAAAAATTATGTTAAAACAATTTTGTAAGCTATGAATCTGAAACCAAATGATTCCCATATGCCACAATGCAACACAATGCACACATAACAGTACAGTATAAGATATATAAACCTAAAGAAATAAATAGATTTTAAATTAGTCACTATCTTATAGCGTTTCACTAGAGAGATCCATACAAACAAAGGTCACAAATACACACACATTTGGAAATTGTATTAAAGTTTCAATATTGTAATATACATTTTTGAGTATTAAATATATTATCTTAATTAACCTAGAGAAACAATAATCTCACAAGGTTATTCTCAAATCATTCAAGATTTTTGTTAAGTATTTTTATATTAAATTTTCATCACTACTTTCCTAGATTACTAAATTTATCTAGCAATAATTATATATATTTAATAGTATACTATACCCACTGATATGGTTAAGTTAATTAATGTTACAGTCTAATTAACTTCGCTTAAGGATGGCTACAGATACTCGATTAGTAGTTAGGTTGCTACTTTGTATTCTTTAGACGTAAAGGGCGTAGGTACCAAATGCATCAATCGGAATGTTAGTCGCATTCGTACAACCTGACGATTAACCTAGTGTCTGTTACCAATATTAAGCTTCTATTTTCGATGAGTTGATTTTATTGAAGATTATTATATAGATATTAGGTATCAATGACACAAACTCGTTCTTGTTCTGTCATAGCTAAATATTAATCACTTGTTTTTAAATTATGTTTGTTATATTTATGTAATAGGTACAATAATTACGTATTAGGAAATATGATACAATACTCAATATCTTCATAAGTAAGAAAAGATGAATTTGGTTTCATTGCAGCGTAAGTATTTAGGTAGTTTTTCTCATAATTATCTATTTAGAATATAAACAGACTTGAACTATACGATATTTTAATAATGGAGTAATGTGTATATTAGATTAAAATATAATTATAAAAGATTAAATAATAGAAAAATATTTTTAGGAACCTTAAAAAGTAGAAAATAAAAACGTATTTAAAACCCCTTAGATATTTACTAGTAACAACAATAGTTTAATGGGGGTTTCAATAGCTTTATATTCAATTCAATTTCTATTTTCTGTTTTTAGGGCTCATCAATAAAGAAAAATCTTACATATTTTAACTTTGATTTATTTACAACTAAAATTCTACTTCATAAGAGATATATACATATATTTCAAAATCAATTAAGCATTGAAAATCAAAACATTAAGTAAGATGTTAACAAAATAAAATAATCTAATCTTTATTTTACATAAAAAATACTGTCCCATACCTAATATTGCGTAAAGAATAATATAACATGATAATATAATAAATGGTACAAAAAATGGTAATTATTAACAATTTGATTCCTGTATAATATATTATAACAGATCACTTATATAATAAGATAATGTATTTTTTTTTTATAATGCATGCAATGTATTTCTTTTGTAATGCATTTTTATTGTACATCAAATAGAAATGTATTGTAATATCTTATAGAAACAATAACCAGTCTTAAACTATCTCATTACTTAGATTTAAATAAATTACATTGGTAAATTATTACCTCAATATGTTTTCTAAATACATATTTTATTTTATTTTAATATATTTGAAAATATAAATAAATATACTCAATATAAATCTATTCTAAATAATATATAATCGAATTATAAATGAAGTTTAGACTACGTGCGCTACATTTTTACATTTAATTAAAATTAATTTAGATATAAAGGCAATTGATAAGAGAAATACACTATCAAACATGCTATTTTTAGGATTGCTATCAATAAATCTGCCTTACAAAGTTGAATCCATTAGTTTCGAGTAGAACAGCGATACTTGTTGCTATTATAACTAGTATTTTATCATCTGGGTAGGTACAAATTGGTCAGAGAGCATTGAACCAAAATGATAAAGCGTTATGGAATCGAATCACGTGTTCTGAACTTGTGATAGAAATTACAATTTATATTATATGATAATTATGATCAGACTTAGCAATGCAAATGTTTTTAAACTAAATTTATCAGATGTGATGTATGTAACTTTAAAATTTAGATGACTGACATCTTTAATTATAGCATTTTGCTTAGTTGAAATTCGTCAGTAAACAGGTTACAAATTTTATGAAATGAAAAAATAACATGATTATAATTGACTGAAAAAAAAAACAACCAATGTTCTGAAAGGCTTATTCACATTATTTCTGTTTATTAGAAACTCTCAATAAGAAAAACTTTTATTTAGAATTGAACTTCTTTCAGGTCTCACAAAAATAATTAATTCATGATAATACAAGCAAGTGTTAGAATTGTCAAAAATCTAATCTAATTATTATCACCCATTTAAATTGTCTATTTAAAAAAAATCACACTCATAAATAAAATTGAACATGCAGTATATAACATTGAACGATGATAAAGCCCAACTATTACAGACAATGCAAAACGATTCAGTAAAATATACAATTATATAATTTATGAAAATAAAGCATGAGATGTAATCTATTTTGCTGAAAAAAAAAACAAACAATGAGTGACTGACAATGAATAGGCATAATGAAGTACATGTTTTGAAGCCTTTCATAAGTGCTGACTTACCATAGAACCGTCGAGGCTTTTCACTGCCGGTGCTGATGTCACTGCGCTGGTCAAGCCAGCGCGCCGTTTCGTCCGGCTGAGCTGATCCATTCACACAACACAACAGTATATATAACATGAATATTGCACCTAATGTCACCACCAATACACCAACCACCAGCAGAACATAAAATAAGGTTAACAATAAAAATAAATGAACAAAATACACAAATAATAAAATTATTAATAAGTATAAAAAATAAAATATAATAAAACTAAATAAAGAAATTTTATACAATAAAATAAAAATAAGTAAGAAGTACAAATGTTAATAATAAATTAATATAATTAAAAATGTTAACAAAATAGCAAAATTAACAATACTATATAAAATACATGATCAAATAATTATTTGAATGTATTCCTAGTTCATAAGATAGTGCTACCAAAAACAGACTAGAGGAGGACAATAAGTAGAGAACAATAATTAATAATAAGTATATGTAGTTATATCCCAAAAGTAATATCAATACTTAATATAATATTTTATAAAGTATTGTTCTGATCAACATGTCACTAATATCTAGTTGGTTTATTATAAAGTACTAGGAAAGTATAAACATGCAGGAGGCTACAACACTAACTTCATTGTAAATATATTCCTTATGTTTCTTACTATTTAAAAATTTTATGAAGCATACTAAATAACTATGTCTAACACTTTACTCAAAAAGACCATGATAGAATAATAGAGAATACACCAAATAAATGCAATATCATCTATTCACTTTTACAAGAATATTTGGGATTAGCAAAGTATTATCATTCTTCCATCTCTATCAATCATTTTAGATGAGATTTTATATATCATCTTTTATACTATTGATCTATCTTAAGTAATACAGCACATAATAACATATAAAGAAAATGTGTAACATTTTAATTGAGTATTTACACATGGTATAATAATTTCAGGCACTACAATTGCTACTAGTTAATTAGAACGCATATAAAATATTTAATTAGAACATTATGTATTAATAACCATTCTTAACTATATTTTTAACAAGATCAAAGTGTATATATGTAGCAATATAAAAATATTGTCTGTGTCTCACTGATATGATAATTAATATTATAGATAATAAAAAATATTAATTAGTTACTTATTTAGTCATCTTGTTATTATATAATATTAAAAACAAGAAAAATATACAGTTTTATAATATTCTATAAACTAAAGAAATTTGTAACAATTGAAATAGTCATGTAATATTTTATTGTAACTATGCAAAAATAAGTATAACAAGTGTTTTATGTTTATAAACCAAAGGTACCATAATAACTGCATAATTGTATTATAAAGATATAAAATAAAATAAAAGCATAATTTGCTGTTTGATTATGCACAAAATTATTAAGCACACCATTGTTAACACAGTGTCCATACAATATTCAACCAATTACATTATTTGCCAATATAAATTATCCAAAACTGTCTGTGAAGCAAAACATTAATTAAATTCATTTAAGGTTATTACTTAATTGCCAGTTTTAATGAAAATGAGCATTGTGCTAATTCTGCCATATCATACTATTTTAAGGAAAGATGATATCATAATTGATTGAATACTAATATATATATATATGTGCATTCATTATATTATCAGTATTAATGCAAATATAAAACATGATGTTTTATTATGTTACAAATAAAGCACTAGCGGTGCTAAGAAAAAATGAGAATAAAATTTTACAACATAATTAAAAAATAACTTTGATGGCAATCTGAACCTTGTATACTCTGTTTCAATATGGGTAAGCTTGTTAAAAATTTCAATCAAGATTTGTGAACATGATCACAGACACACTATGTTATATAAAAAGTAAATTATTTATTCAGATTTTTAAGGTTTGATTTTAATACTTTGCCATATTTATATGAGCATTTGACTAACATATAGGATTTGAGTTTTTTAAATCAAAGATACAATTTAAAGCTATTATAAAAAAAAACCATTGTCAAAGGTTCATAAATATTATGAACAAAAAAAATGTCCAATCAAACAATTGAAATTTAGTAACTTGATATTTATCACTGGAGCATAATGTGAAATTAATTTGCAATATCAATGCGATTTAAAGTGCTTTAAGTATCAGCATAATAATGTATTTTCATAAAAGATAATATGTATGTAATTAACTAAAAAAATAATAAAATAATATATGAAATAATAGAGTTTAATTGGTGTACACATGACTAAAATATCTATGCTCAGAATAGGACTTCTTTGTTTATGTATTTATCAAAGCCTACTGAAATAGAGTATATAAACAAATATTATTATTTAGCAACTGGTCCAGTTTAAATGATTTTTATTATTCTGACATTAAACAACAAATTACACTCACCTGTAAATATCCTCTCCCTTGCTCTGATAATTTGATTCTTTTTACGAACAGTGACACACAGATGTATCATTATAAACATTGTTATGTTCATCACAATGCTTTGAATTAACAGTGGTAACTCATAACGTTTACCAAACCTGTAAATAGTTATTAATTGTTAGAACATTCAATGGGCACTTTTACAGTGAGTGGTGTAGTATGATGTCTGTCAAGTGTACTACTATATTAATATATATTATTTCGAAATTGCTACATTTTACAACATTTATTTAATTTAAAATAGTTTGTAATAAATATACTTGAACATACCAAAACAATATTCTTAGAGTGTTGGCTATTAAGAGAGCTAGGCACACATAAAGGGAGAACCCTTCAGCATCCTGAGTCCTTTTAATTTGTTTATATTGTGGAATGTATGGAGCGATACCACCAATAATCATAGCTCCAGCAGCTCCCCAACCAACTAAGTGGCCTACCGTAAGGCCCAACTCATCCGAAATAATCCAATCCATTGTGAGATTGTACTAAAGTTATGGAAGAAATGTTAAACAAATAATTTGTAACAGTTTTGTCTATAAAATATACTAGTGTTTTGGTTTACGCTCTTCATTATTAAAACAACTAAAATTACTAAACGAATTTATAAATAACTGTATAAAAAATAAAATAAGAGAATTTTAAATCATGAAATGGTCAATGAAACACAAAAACACAAGATGAAATCGCTCGATAATTTAATAAATGACAGTCAACAGTGGACATTTGCATAGATTATTCAAAGAACTACGTTGACAGTCAGTTTACACTGCACTGCGTTTTGCAAAATATATTATGCAACTTTTTGTTGTAAATATTTCGTGCATACTTATTTTGTCGCGTTTTAATTGAATTCGGATAAAACCTAAATATCACTATTGAAATTAATCTATTGTAACTACTTAATATTATATTTAATGTTTTGTGTTACTGACATGTGAGAGACGTTTGCTAAACATTACTGTCACTGTCATGTCAATGTTATCAGCTGTTTGTTGTATTATTTATTGTAAAATATTATTTTGTTCCATTAACTAAAGTTTTTAAATAAAAAGAAATTATTCTCAATATATTGTAAGTTACATATAAAATTTCATTTAAATATGACAACTGTTTCTAAATTGCTACCAGTTTTCCGATCTACTAAGACTAACAATTTAGTAGCAACTACGGAGAATATATTGAAATTTAGAGTACTAAATCGTCGTAGTTATTCAACTGAAAAAAATAGGGGCTTAACCAAAGCGACTGAAAGAGCTGACGTTTCAACTGATGTGCGACCTCTTGGAGAAAAGATAAAAGAGACAACTAAAACCGCGTCCTACACCGGAGTTATATTACTTGGAGTTGGTGTCACCGGTGTTATCTTTTACTACGTTTTTAGAGAATTATTCTCCAGCAACAGTGCTAACAGTATATATTCTGTGGCCCTTGAAAAATGCAAGAACGTAAGTAATTAAAATGATTTAAATGGGTAGTAGTGTTTTCAGCATTTACATAATACTTCGTAACTAGCTGAACAAGTCGGGTAATTTTATATAATGTAAATTTCTTGGCTTCTTATTTTTGTATCATTGTTATTTGTTTGTGATAAAGAAAAATGAACTTATAAGATAAATATTATTCTCAAGTTAATAATTATCATTTGTCTATCAAGTGTTTTTGATAAATCTTACAGAATATGTAAACAAACATTTCATCTCAAAAATGATCATACAAGCATAATCACTGAATAGAAATACTATTAAACCTAATCTTTAGGGTTTAAACTTTTTATAACAGTATTGATTGGTATTCACATTCTAAATTGTACTTGCTAACTATTAAGCTAAAATTGAAATCAAAATGAATGAATGATATTATAGAAAATTTTATATTGATGGTTGTAAAATGTAACAAAATATTATTCATATTTTTAATAAAATTCTTAATAATAAAATATAATTAACAATAATAATTATTATTGTTAATTAAATAATATAAAATTTTCTATAATGTCATTCATTATAATCAATAATATTAAAGAATAATATTATATTTAATTAATATTTACAACACCTGTCAAACTTAGATTGTTTATCATCAGAAATATTAACATATTTGTTAGGATGTATAATTAAAAAACAATGTAGCACTAAATTTTCAATTTCAAACAAACCTGTTATATCTTCTTATTGTTCAATATATTCATTCAAGCTACTTAAATATTACTCTCAAAACTTGGGCCTTTTTTAAAGTATGATATGATATTTTATTAAAACTATTGCCTATGAAGAAAGAAATATAAGTGTGATAATGGTAATAAAAATAAATATTCTTAATATATTATTTGTAGGATCCTCAAGTAGAAGATGCCCTTGGTGCCCCAATAAAAGGATATGGTGAGGAGACAACAAGGAGACGACGCACACATGTCAGTCATGCTGTATATGAAAAGGATGGAATTAAACACATGAGGATGAAATTTTACATTAAAGGAATTAGGAACAAAGGCGTTGTTGAGTTAGATATGAAACAGGTATGTTGGTATAGAAGGGGTATTTTATTTTTTTGTTGTTAAGTAATCTAATCTATTAGTCCAGTCCACTTCTAGGACACGAGTTCAAAAAGTAAGATGTCCTTCAGTATAAATTTTCCATAGTAATTTCCAGATGGACAGTAAAATTTGTTTTCAGTGTATTAAGTTAAACAATCATATCACTAAAAATCTTTCTAGGAAACATTTGCTTAATATATTTAAAACAATGGATAATGGTTTTCTTTTTTTTTTCAGAATGATTATGGAAATTACATGTGCCGATACTTACTAGTACAACTGGATGACTTCAGTGGAAAAACATTTATTATAGAAGACAATAGAGCTGATTTAGACAAAACAAAACCAGAAATTGGATTTCCTACCCTTAATTTAACTCAGTGATTATAAATTCATAATATGATGTAAATAAATATTTTAATAAGTAGGTAGAAAATAATATCATAAAAAATAAATATAGTTGATGTATGGTTTTATATTTTTGTTTCAAAATTCAATTTAAACGGATTATTTCAGAAATTGTATAAAGTTCATTAAGTAATATTGACTATATTTACATAGGAAAGTATTACTTCATTGCTCCTAATATTATTTATAATAATATTATTATTTATCCTCTTTTCCAAGGAATTATTTCCCAAGCCATTAATAAGCGGTTGTTGAAGACAAATCTTTTGATCTTGTTAAATATCCAGTAAAATATAAATACTAATGAGAGATATTGCGGCCAAGCCCATCTTAATTCTTGGAGTAGACTTGGAATATAACGTATTTTCGTTTCTGGAATCCTGATATGCATGTTCACATCCATATTGCCTGTGTGGCCATTTTGACTTCTTGAGTGCAACTTTTTGGTTTGGGTGATGACTGAAAAATTAAGTAAGTAAATTAACATTGTAACTTCACAACCTACCTTACAACTTTATTAGGATCATATAATTTGAGGACCTAGTAATCTATTTCTTTAAACTAGTATGTATAACTGTTATGTATGTAAATAAACTGATACATACACCTGATAAAAGAATATGATCATAATCATATTGACATCATGGATACCTTATATTAGTATGCCTTATTATATGTAGGATTATACGACATATGACAACCATTTTTTTGGTAGTTTGCCGGAAATAAAATAGTGTCGGTTTTTATTTACGACTGACTTTTCGATAGAAATAAGAAACACAGATATTAATAAAATAAAATAAATCCGTGAGGTTACAGGTTTTAGTACTTTGAGTAAGCTAAATATTACCTTCTCTATTAATGTACTGTTCCAGAATGAAATCAACAATATTTTCATTAGTATCCAAAAAGTGGTTCAGTAATGAGGTATTATATTTTGTGTCAACCATGTTTCGCATGCAAGGCAGGTGGGAGACTTGGTATAATTCAATGTCACCATAGTACTTGAGCCCAGATGGTGGTACTATAAAGTTTTCATGAATAACTGCTAAAGATTGCATATGTAGTGGGCATGTAGCCTGAAAATAAATACAAATTTAAATAAGAGAATAGGTAATTATAAATAATTTCAATATATTGGGTACATAGCATTAATATATGTATTTATTATTAGTTGGACCGTTATGGCCAGAATGAAACTATTAACCTTAATGGCTATAAATATCATGGGCGCTTTTCTCTTGTTTCTCTCATCTCATATCTATTTTCACCAGAGATGCCTGTACAAACTATATTCTGTCGGGGGAAACGGGATTGATCGTAATGTGGAGTAATGATCCCATTGCTAGTAATGTACCATGTCAGGTTGACTTCCACGCTGTGGTTCCCCCTGGAAACCATCGTGATAAATTGCTTGTGATTTTGTCACGTTGGGCTAACTGATCTGACTTCATGCTCATCTTATCATCTTCCACTGGTGCCCCGCCAGCGTATACCGTTAGCGCAGGCGGGTGTACCATTCCATTATCATCCTCAAAAAAAAAAACTATATTCTGTCCAGGGTGAATGGGATTGTTAGTAATGTGGACTAATGAACATATTGCTAGTAATGTAATATGTCAGGTTGACCTCCATACAATCCCCTTGGAAACCTTCCTGATGAGTTTCAGGTGAATTTGTCACAATAGGCTAACTGACCGATTCTCATGCTCATCTTATCATTCTCCATTGGTTGCCCGATAGCATAAACCGTTAGCGAGGGCCATCCACTTCATTATTCATTTTTTTATCATCATTAAAAGAACTGTATGCGATTTCATGGTAAAAATAAGAAAATTAGGTGACATCCTCCTGTACTTGTCTCTAATGCATCATGAGCTAATCCTAAGATGCATGCAAGTACCAGTATGGACTATGTTTCCTATATACCACATAGTTCTCAGTACTATATTACAAGCTTTAGGTCTTTTAATATTGCCAGATATATAATAGTATTTATAGTATTAATTGATAATAAACCTTCAACTGGAAATCCAATGCTAAGATTACTGTAATTGAAGCTATTGTTCTATCCGTTGGTACATTGAGATTGAATATAAAATTTAGCATGTCATTCTTCCCATCTCCATTATAATCATACTCCTGCACCTGGAACATCCATGAGAAATAATGGTAGAACACAGATTCAAGATAAAAAGGATTGATTTTATATAAGTGATATATTTCCTTCAATTAACAAACTTAAATTAAATTATGGAAGAAATATTTTGGACACAATAATTGCCAGCAGCTATTAAGCTATATTTTAACATTACATTAAAATTTTTAACCACCTGAATAAACAAATATATATATAGTTACCTAGAGAATTAAAATTTAATTTAGTTTTATTAAACCTCTATAAGAGATATAATTCAACTGAGGTTTTGGAAGCCCTAAAATAAGTAAGAAATACCAGACAGTGGTTATTTTAAAGTAATAATTGAGCAAAGAACAGGGATTTATAATAATATTCATTGACTAATTGCATAACTCTAGGCAGTCTTGTATTTTTAATAAATTATAATGAAATTGCAATTCTACTTGTACAAATAGTGAAGCATGGAAACCGGTCCTTAAGACATAACATCATGTTAAATCGAACAGTAATTAATCCAAGTATTTAGTTTGCTTAAATATAAGCATAATTAGTTTATATATATGTGTGTTCATAATAATTAATACTATTACTAATCACAACACATTTTACTTACTTGCATGCCAGCACAGTTTTCTTCATTGGAAATTTCTTCGTTTAATATTGAAGTTTCTGCACATATTATAGGTTGGCTAGGATCTACTGTCTCTGCTAGTAATAAATAGTCATACGTAAACTGTATAGTTGGTTGTTCATAATAAGTTTGAGACTTCAACCAAAACCCTGTAAAATAGTTTTTAATTTAATACCATCCACTGGGAATACAATTAAATGTAAGTGTAAGAAATGGTTGTTGATACTTGCATTTTATAGACTAAAATAGATTAAATAACTACCAAACTAACTAATAAAAAAGAACCTATTTAATAAAATTTATGCTTCGAATTTTCATAATGTAATTCACATACGGACAATGAAACAGTTCTGTCAATTAAATTACAACGTATAACAGAATTATTTACCTCTACTTCTATAAGCCACAAAAAATGGTAAAATTATATTTAACACCGTAGTAATTACTGTAAACAACATAGCTTTCGAAAGGAACCAACTTTTGTACTGTATTTCTACATTACAGCTGTACAGTTTATACAAGCCCATTTTATTAGCAGTTTGTGAGGAATAGAAAGAAAGAATATGTTATTTTCGTTGGTATTTATGATATGGTTTGTATTTCTGGTCTTTGAACTTTCTTATTATAATAAGGTTTGTATATTATCATTTCGATATTTTTTATTTTTAATACAATGGCTGAAATATATTTATTGATCAACAAACAAAATTGTTGCTAAGCAACCAATAATGTTGTACTATTCAATTATTGCTTAGTGTTGCAACTAAACTAATTGTAATGAATTTTGAACAGTACTCAGAACCCTAAAAATAAGTTTACGATCAAAATTACAGAATATTTTCATATCTACATTATAGTCAGTGGCTATTAATAAAATGTAACAAACAGGTATTTTATAGTCTAATATTAAAATGTATATTTATTATAAAACTTGAATATTTTCTTTTAGTAAATCCAGAAATAATTGCTTTAGTTATTGTTCCTGAATTTTAATATTTGTTTTGGAGAACAAAAAAAAAACTGTTTGAAAAGCCGGGCTCCATAGAACAGTCATGTAGTCGTTTTGTATTTAGGTACATAATTTCATTTAGTGGGTAAGTATATTTGGGAAGATGTTTAGAATAATATTTTTAAACAACCATTCGTTGAATAAATCGCAGTTGACAATTTGTATTTAAAAAAATTGCAAATTGCTGCTCGGCTAATCCATTAACATTGAATTAAAATATAGAGTGCTGAAACAAAAGAACCGCGTACTAATGTATCAGTTACCGCATGTGTCTCACAAAAGGGATATAAAACAAAGTGTTTTAAAATGTAAGAAAAGTACAGTCTCCGAAAAAAAACACCTTCCCTAACAAATCTTGTTATTATTATTATAAAAAATAGAGTTTGTGAATGTTGTTGTTTATAATGAATGCTTGTCACCAATTTTTTTTACATGCAAAAGCGATTCAGATGAACTCTCATACACAGATAGATCATATAGTTACCTATCAGATAAACGCATGGGATAGGTACTTAGGTATTACTCGAATTCATACGGAGAGCATCGGGGAATGAGCCTAGTGAATAATAAATATCTCGAATATATAATTTAAATATAAACGTATTACAGTTTAATTTAAATTAAATTATAGACCATATATTTCTGTGGAGGTCAAGCTGATTGTGCCATTGTTAGTAATGAACATATACCAGCAATGTTCTCCATGTAGGAGAACATTGCTGGCGCTACTGCTAGCTATATGTTGTATCCATTTAATATTATAAATATGAAAACGAGTATGTGTTCATGTTTTCTACATAAACATAGACATTAGACATTGATAGATTACATATTTTTCATATATGTAAATATATGTAGTTTTATTCGCGTGATAGGTAGGTGGACAACTGTGCTGCCTGGCTTAATTTCAAATTAGTGTCAAATAAACATTATTTTGTAAACAGTACCTACCTGCAGCATAAGTTCTTACAGTAGCCAGTAATACGTTCCTGTTTTTATACAAGTCAGTGAACACGCACAATAGTATTGCCAGAAACCAGGGTCGCTGGCGCCTGTGTTGACAGGCGAGACTTGCCGGTGACTGATCCCATTTCGCAGCTCTTGCAATAAAAGGGACTGGACATCATTTACAGGCAGCATTCGCTCTGGTGTAAACCCAGAGCACAGTGCGCTCCCCCATCTGAAGTTGCATTTATTAACTCACGTATAGCGTTTACGCCAAGATGTCCATGGTTCGAAGATCCAGCATGGACAGAATGTCCTCGAGTATGACATCCAGCATGACTGGTATGGGACTCGGCGGCATAACCGGATTGACATCAGGAATGAGTACTTTGAGCTGCATGAGGGAGCAGCAGGTAACAATTGGAGGAATGCCATCAAATTACGTCCCAGGATTGTCGGCTTATTATAATATTTCAAGCTTCTGTCATCGTCCAGGGCAGCCACGCCGCTGGCCAATGCAACGTGCTGGGCCAACTGCCCAACATCGTCCTGGTCGCTCTCATAGTACCGGCGCATTACATCGCATGAAGTATTCCTCGAGAAATAGCCCTAATACGCAGTATACCCACAATTTAATCTGTAAAATGGCCGACCAGAATGAACGTCGTCGACGTCAAGATACGTTGGATGTGATTCCCCAGAGTTATTACTCCCAGCAACCACTGAAAGTAGAATTGACTGAATTTTACTCGCGTGACAATTCCAAAGACCATCATACGGAACAATATGATTTGGTTAATGATAATATTCTACCCAATCCTGTTCTGCGAAGAGGTCAGAATTTCTTCTTTGCAGTACGTTTTGATAGGACGTACGATAAACAACAGGATATGATTCGAGTTGTGTTTTGTTTTGGTAAGTACATTTTTGTCCAAATTTACATTTACGTTCCCATCTACACGTGTTACGTGACACAAATTAGTCTTAATTGATCAATCAAACAGAAAACTGATAGTATATATTCATGTAACAATATAGCTCAAAAGGCTTGTGTGTAGTTGAAACAAAATTTGGAATCCTTCACATTACATTAACGGTCTTATAAAGATTTACTTTTGGAACATCAAAAAATATTATCATAGTTTCACTTTACTTTTTAGGCAAAATTGTTTTCTTATTAAAATACATAATATGATAGTTTTCAGACTTACACTTATTATGATCTATTACAGTATTACTGTATAATTGTTTTTATTTTATTATAGGTCCTAAGCCAAGTGTTACAAAGGGCACTCGAGTTGTGCTACCTGTCAACTGGAGTACACAGCAGGGAGTATTCCAACATTCCCGCGACATGATGGGCATGGGATTGGGAATGTCTCGAATGCAAGACACTAGCACTGGAATGGCTACTATGGGCACCATAAGCACTATGGGCAATATGAGTTCGATGGGTCCAGTGAGTGGCATTAGGGAAACAACTACGTACGGGGTTCGCCGTAGTTCATTCAGCAATGAACCATTGCCGTTACAGCATAGTCCTCTCAGTCCGCATGGGCCTTTGGACCGGCCAATATTGGATCGGTATGGAACTACAACGCAGCATTCTTCGTTTGGACGTTGTTATGGGTCGCGACATGGATCACGTCATGGGTCAATGCAAAATTTAGCAGCTTTGGCTCATGATATGGATAGGTGGGATATTAGTATTCAGCGCCAAGATGGGAACACTATTACTTTCCAAGTCCACGTTCCCGCCACTGCACCTGTTGGCGCATGGAATTGCTGGATACAGACCAACCGGTTTGGCCAGCGCGATAATCGCCACGACTACAAATGTGATGAAGATGTATATATCTTGTTCAATCCCTGGTGTCGTGAGGATTCCGTTTACATGGACAATGAATCATCCAGGAAGGAATACGTTCTCAATGAACAAGGAAAGATTTGGTGTGGTACTTGGCGTCAACCAAAGGGCAGGAAATGGATTTATGGACAATTTGATGATGCGGTCCTCCCAGCATGTATGTATTTGCTAGAGAGAAGTGGTTTAGAACATTCGGAACGTGGTAATCCAATCCGTGTTTGCAGAGCTATCTCCTCTATGGTACGTTAAGTTTATAAACTTAAGCAACTTAGCTTAGATATATCATTGCTAGATACTTATTTAGACATTTCCGTTAATTTCTGCTATTTTTTTTTTAATTATTTTAGATTAACTCAAATCATGATGATGACGGTCTAATGGTTGGGCGTTATGATGGTGAATACAAGGACGGAGTAGCACCTCATGCCTGGACAGGATCAGTGGCTATCTTGGAGCGGTACCTTACAGATGGTGGTCGACCAGTGGAATATGGGCAGTGCTGGGTATTCTCGGGATTGGTTGTAACAATCTGTAGAGCTTTAGGTAGGTATCCAATTAGTTGTAAACTATTAGTCCTCTGAAAAAATATTTTTGATTTTTATAATATATACCTTTTTATTTCTAGGTATACCGTGCCGTTCGGTAACTAACTACGTGTCAGCCCACGACACAAATCGTACTTTTACGGTAGACAAATACTTCGATCGTGATGGCAATGAAGTACCCAACGGGCCAGATGAAGATTGCTATGACTCATGTTGGAACTTCCACGTTTGGAATGATGTATGGATGCAACGACCTGATTTGCCACAAGGTATATTATATTAAATGTAATGAAAAGTGGTTTGGAAACATTCTACTGATTATATAAAATTTAATGTTTTTTTTGTGAGGACGGATGTATAGATGGAGATGGATCTCTGTTACTCTAAAACTACTGCACGGATTCGAATGAAATTTGGTATATATATATGTAAGTTAGAATTGATTAATCCTTTTATATTGAATAGGTGTTAAACTATTATCCCGGATAGGGTAGTTAGAGGTATTGACAATTGTCGACATCATATTAAACGTAATAGCATCCAACGTGGTAGGAGGCAAGAATGCCGCCGTCTCTCGGTTTTGTTATTATATTTAATTGTTTTTGTCTGCCAGATTTTAATTCAGAAACTTATGGATGTAATTCGGGGTATCATCTCTCTACCTGCTTATACAATATTAACAAATTGTTTTGGTATAGGATACAGCGGCTGGCAGATCATTGATTCTACGCCTCAAGAGGAGGCAGAGTCTGTATATCATTGCGGGCCTGCCAGCGTCGAAGCTGTGCGCCGTGGGGAAGTCGGGTTCCAATATGACACCCCATTCATGTTCTGTCAGCTCAACGCAGAACTGTGCCACTTCCAAGAGGAAGAAAATTCTGAGTGGGGCTTCATCAGGATGGCATCAAATCAGTACCAGTAAGGGCTAAATGAATTATATTTAATTATTAAGTTAATAAATTTTAATATTTTTGTTACACGAGAATCGCACCATTGTATGCACGATGGTTTCTTGTGAGTTATTTATTATATTATAATTATCATATATTTATTTCCTTAGGAGTCCAAAATATAACATATATATAATTTAATACTAAATGGTATCCGCGTTTTCGTCTGTATTTCAAAATAACCTACATCCGTTATTCTTATACAATGTATCTTCACGTTATATATTAAGATTTGTTCAGGCGTTTAGTCGTGAAAAGGTGACAAATCCAAATCGACTGACAGACAGATACACTCCCGCATTTATATTATTACAATGTTATGGACAAAATTGGTGTACTGAATCTTTTTTTGACCTAGTATTTAAATTATTGAGCATTCTTCAGTGACATTTGAAATCGTAAGAAATACTACTTACTTTACAGAGTGGGTCGCAAGATTCTGACGAAGAATCCCAATCGCGATGATGACGAGGGTGAAAGTGATATGTTAGAGATCACTCATGAATACAAGACTGTGGATAGCTCATCTCCTGAACGGCTCGCTGTTATTGCCTCGTGTCGTGGTTACCAACGCTTGCAGCAGTACTACGAGTATCCTGACCGTAATTTTGAGGATGTCTACTTTGACCTTATGGATATCGATATCGTACCATATGGTCAACCCTTCGATTGCACCATGAACATTCAGGTTTTAAAATATTTTTCAATATAATTTGTAGTTATAAGGGTAGAGGAAGGCCGAAAAAAGATGGATGGACTGGTGTGAGAGATGATATGTTAAGAAAGGGAGTAAATACATTATGCCGACCCCAAATAAATGGGACAAGGAAGAAACAGATGATGATGATGATAATTTGAATGGTAAATAATCATCATCATCAATTGGAGGAACTATGTGATGGTAACTGGAAACTGTTGCTTGAAGAACATGAACAGCACCAATGATATCACGGCACTAAGTGAGGATCATGTATTGGCATATTAGTACACTAATATGTCATGCCTCCCTGTAATTTCGCTGTCATATACCTACCTTTATCTGAAAACACAGTCTTAAAAGCAATTTGCTTGGCAGTGAATATAGGTGGTAAGTGGCAACCGTTGCTTATTATTAAATTAATACGTTTAGCAAAAACTTTGTACACATTTTTACGAAAATGAATTATGGTCGAATTTCAACTACTGTACATGATTATAAATGAACTCATACGATGACGTGATTTCCGTGGTGATGATTTTGTATCCTGTATCCCTAAATTCACTGGCATATCTCGCTATTCAACCGAAATACAACTTACAAAATATTCTACTTATCGCAGATTTAGGTAAGATAAAGACACCCCATATATATAGTATATGAATTTTAATATAGTTTGTGTGTTTGACTAGTTATAAGAAAAGTTATATTCTCTGTTCTTTTCACAGAATAAATCACACGAGGATCGTACCATTTGGTGCGTGCTGACTGCGTCCTCGTGTTATTACACTGGAGCGATTGCGTCCCGTCTCCGTCGAGCTCAAGGAGAATTCATTGTGCGCGCAGGACAGCGTGAAGTTCTCAAATTGCACATCACGCCTCAGGAATACATGGATAAGTTGGTGGACCATTCTATGGTGAAGGTTCATGCTATGGCTTACGTGAAGCAAACGCGTCAAGCATGGTCTGACGAGGATGATTTCCCACTTCACAAGCCAAGGATGCAGGTTCAGGTAAATAAAGCAAATACTACCAATTTTAGTTTACTTTTTTTATGTGTAGCCTATTTACATTGTCGTGATTCAATAACATCCAATTTCTTTATTATCAGTTAGCTTTTTCTAAAAAGATGATACATTTACATAGACCGACAAAAGACGCACTTTCGCATTTATAATGTCAAGTAACAGTCTATGTATATTTACATACATTCAGTCAGTTATTTAATGTTAGGTTTTATGCGATCAATTAATGTATGTCTGTCTGTCTTGTTAAGGACCGGGCATGTAGATTGACACATTGATGTTGTTCGTGGGATATTGACTGACATATTCTGTTTACAGGTTAGAAGCCAGCCTTGCATTGGACAAGAATGTTCTGTAACATTCGGCTTCCAGAATCCATTGAACATTCATCTAACCGATTGCTACTTCACCTTTGAGGGTGCAGGTATACAGAGGCCGCGTCAGGTACGTATTTCTATTGACACCAAATAAATTAGAGGATAACTTGTTTTTTTTTGTAATTGGAATGGCAAACAAACTAACAGCCCACTTGATGGTAAGTGGTAACCTGAACATCACTATGGGTACTTCGTTATCCTGTGGCAGCCGTGATACTCATGCGTTGCCATTCTAAACCATTAGGATATCATACTGTAATTTTACTGCGTAATCTGCAAGTGGTTATTTTCTTCATTCACAAAGAAACACTTATTATTTATTACAAAGAATCGGCAACCCTATTCTTTGGTATTCAATGAAAAACAGCCGACGTTCTTGATTACTGGAATAGTAAGAATGGCGTAGCCAAAAAAGGCACGTCTCGATTTCCATTCATAATAACAATCAACGGCGTTAAATATTTTCCTATTATTAATTAATGGTTAATACGGCAACGTTGGCACTGTCGTTTGTTATTGTATTCTTATGTCACAAGTTTGAACCCATTTATCTCGGCTAACTCGGTTTCAGGGAAAGTTGTTGAAAAAAATTGTACGTTAGGTACCATGAGTAGTTTCACATCCTTGAGGCTTATATCACTATGAATTGCGATTGGTTTTTCCAGATAAGGTTCCGGGACGTGAAACCGGGTGAGTTCGTGAACTATCAGGATAAGTTCGTACCTCGTCGGCACGGTGAGCGCCGCATCGTGGTGACGTTCTCGTCGCGGCAGATCGACGAGATCTTCGGGTGTACGACAGTGAATGTGCGCGGCTAGCTAGCCCCCGGGCCCCGAGTAACGTCTCCGCGCGACTCCCCGGGGCCTTCATCGCCGCCTCCTCAAATGGACCGTTCATACACTTCACACGTTGCACAGGACCAACATGTGTACGTCCAAGAGGAGGAAGTCGCCATATTGAAAACAATTTGAACGACCAGTTTGCACAGATAATGTTGTTGACTTTACGTTGAGGATAGTTTTTTTTGGCTCGTTGTATTCAATATACGACTGTTGTGTTAGTTAGGTACTTCTATAGTACTTTTTATGACGACGACATGGCTGTTTTAAATGGACTCTAATAAATAATTTATTTTTTTATCTAGTGTGGCACCAGCACAATGCAAATTATGTTAAAACAAAAAAATATATACTCACCGTGTGATTTGTTTCCACTTTTAATATTGATATTGATGTATCCGTAAGTTAAGGAAACCGATGCTTCGTGTGCCATATAATTTGGTTTTATCTTAATATATCTAAATATTTTATATAAGATCGTAGAAATAAGAACTATATATAAGCTTATTTAAGAATCTACGCGCTGCATATGATTGTATACATTTTTATTTTTTTTATAATTATTGAAATTATATATTTATCAAATTATCTATATATATAATCAAATTTTGCACTGTGTTTGTGTGTTTTTGGGATCTCAAAAATAAAATGCATTCACTGCAACTATTGTTTTTTATTGTATTCCACTACGATTATATTACACATTTTCTACATTTTTCACCCTCTATATGCGGTATATAAGGGTTGGAAAATGTGGTAAGTAGGTACCTATCTAATTTTAAAAATGTTTAAATACATTTTTTTATTTGATACATAAGTACCTATGTAGGCACGAGGTACTTGTAATATTGGGGTATCAAAACAATATTTTTTCGGTGTTTATAGTACCAGACGCATTGCTACACAGGAATTTTCGCTACCATAATTATTTCAACCTAAAATTAAAATTAGAAATAGCATGATTACTGGCAGCTTGCCCATCATTCTTTTTGTAAAGCTTTATATTTGCTACTTTTTTGGAACGAATTTATAAGTAAGTATGAGTATTTTTGTATTTTTTAATACCTAATAGTAGAATGTCGCTCCTGTCACAGCATTAATAAAAGTACGTTATTGCTTTATGTTTCCATCTCTTATTTAAGTAGGTATTTGAAACTAATAATTCTAATTATAGTTACTCCGTACTACTGAAACAAAGTAGTTACAAATAGCTGACCTGAAACGTGCTTTGGCCACGTTTAGGTTGAACCATGAGTTACAATACTGTTTTATGCTTAAGTTTACCCAATGACCGACTTTTGTCTTGTAAGTTGCTTTTTGAGCAAAGACTGATATTCTTCCAATTATTTTAATGTCTCGCTTTATTTATGTACCTATCTAATGTGGTTTATTTTTGTAACTGCATGGCACAGAAAGAGAACGTTAAAAATATTAAGTTTTTAATTTAAAAATCTTAATTATCAAGAAATCTAAAGGTTAAATATGCTATATCTAGCAGTTATGAAATGTAGATATCATACCTAGCAGATCAATTAACAGTCGTGTACTCGACTGATTGGTTGTTCATTTATATATCTATCTATTGTTATATAACACGTAATAAGTGTCAGTTCAGAAACCTAACTTATTTATAAGCGAAAGTGGATTAAATTTGTAATACCCTTTCTCTCTAAAGTTCCAATTATATGTCTATCACAGTTCCTGAAATTCAGTGATGAGAATATGATAATCAGAATATATCTATATATGTTATTTTAAGATATCTTAAAGTAACAAAATGTAGCTTAATTTCACAAACTTATAATATACCATACAGTTTAATTAGTCAATAAAGTAATGCCCTTGAAACGGGAAAAACCAACCGTACGTGGGTTACCTATAATACGAATTAATGTTTCTGGAATGTGGCAATAAATTCCAGGAACAATAGAAAATCAATTAAACAATATATCGTATTGTGAATTAACAGAAAATGTTGAATGTTCAGTGTTAGTCCGCGTTGTGTGACAAGGTTGCATGATGATGTCATCTGTAATAAATTAATTAATACGTACTATCACACCTACATAATTGTATCTAGTATGTAACGGATTTCAACGAACTTAGAGAGCGCTCTAGCCTTGTACATAATTTGTTAGGTACCCATCTATGTATTTTTTTGAACATATGATAATGGAATGGTCCCACTGCCTACCCTAATGGCATACGCTGGCGGGGCACCAGAGGAGCATGATAGGATGAGCATGAAGTCAAGTCAGTCACTACATCGTGGAAAATTTACTAGAAATATATCTATCCGATTATTTCCAGGGGAAACATGTTGAGGTCGACCTGACATTGCTAGCAATGGGGTCATTAGTCCTATTTTTCTATGCTTATTTGCTATTAAATCTGCATTATGAATGTGGCGATTGAACACAATAATAACCATTCTAAAAACATTTAAAAATTCGGTCGTTTGAAAAATGATATTGGAAATATCATTTAATCTAAGTAGGTTTTTTGATCGATTGATTTATCAACATACACACACTTACACAAAAATTGAGATGTATTTGGAAACATGTTTTTATATATGATTGTAATAGAAAGGAGTCTGTAGATACTTTTTGTGATGTATTGAATTACTATCTTTGTTTTAATCTGTATCGACCTACAAATGTAGCTAAGGCCGTAATAAATCTGACCACCGTTATACAGTAGGAGATAATTTTAACTTAAACAAGTCATATTTTAACGCGAGGTATTTTCTTCAACAAACAAGAGATAAGAGGGTTCCTGATGTAGAAAGTCAGTAGGGAGATACACAACTCTATGACAATAATGGTAGTATGGTTTATTTCTTAATTTAAATTTAAATATTTGTCATAATTTTAAAATATCATAGCTATTATTTTTCATAGATAATAAATAAGATTTACCACAATGGTTCTGTTTTGCATTTCTTTATGAATTTATCTCCTGTAAAAATGATAGCTTGCTTTACGCCTGCGTCCCATCAGTCTTACATTTTAAGTCAAAACTTGTATAAATATGAACTGCTACCTAGCAAGAATTCATTCATGTCAATACGTATTTGATCGAGTAATAAAATAAATTAGTTGTAGTGATCAGATCAGTAATTACCCTTTCACGAGTCTGTGGAATGAGCCTGCCATCTTCAACCTATATGTGCAGGTACAAACCCGTCGGCGATTGTGAGTAATCGATAGTTATTGTGAATAATATAATAGGTATATGTGAGAAATAGTGACATCAATGATACCCCAGTTATTTGTAAATTTCTCATAAAGGTAAATAGGTCATTGCATGCGGTACTACTCACGTCACCAAATGCTTATATTATGAGAGCATCGGCATTCCATTTTAAATTATTAATTAGCATTGGATTATGATGTTCACATATTCACACTAAAAAAATGGATTTAAGTAGTTAAAGTCAGGAAAAATTACAGTAATTAATTTAATTTATACTTAATCTATATTTTATATACGTACTTTTAATATATCTAAAATATAGTGATTTAATAAATTAATACTAATTACTTAGTAGTTAGGTAAAGTGATAAGTGCAGTGGGTAAAATGGTTAGCCTATTGAGGGAATGCATATCTTGTCTGGGCTGCAAAGATGATTCTTATGAGCCTAAAAGAAAACCAAAATATTTCGGTGAGTCAAAACATAATTAAAAAAATTTATGAGAACATGTTTGTTGGTATAATAAACGAGCTTCATCCGAATTCGTTGAACTTTTTCAGTAGGTAATGTAAGTTGGTTCTTTTACGAAAAGTGTATTCAATTACTTGTAGAGCCTTACAAGTAGTTTAAAAAGTTTATTTTTTAAATATTAATAAACTATCTGAATTAAATTGTGACAAAGTTATAGTTTAACGTGATTGACGTGAACTCTGGCAATTGAAAAAGAATAATTTTTAAGCAAAGATTTAATTTTTAAGCTTAAGGAACTTGGGGTAATTTTATCATGTAGGTATCTTTAAGCAAGCTAAACCTAATCCAGCGACACACAAGTTAGAGGTGGTATAAAAATTGTGCGAGTTGTATCAATAAATAAAATAATGCAAAAAATCTGGAAAAGATCTGGCAGTTTACAAGATATAATATGACGGACAGACTTTAGGTAGAGAAGGTAAACTAAATTCGGCATTAAACTAAGTTTTACCTCGTAAATTAATTAAAATGAATGTATATGAGTGTTATTTTAATGTCGAGTGTTATTGTAATTTTAAATTACATTTTAACAATTGAACGAATTGGTTCAAATAATACGCCATACGTCAAAGTTCAAACTCTCCATTGAGTATTACTGTATCCAAGGGACGAGTCATGAATGTCAGTAGTATGTGAGTAACTTTACGTGACTAACTCATGCGCCATGATTTGATTCGTGTCATCAGGTTTCAGAATGCCCCCGAGTTTTGTAACCTCAAGATAACAGGTCGCCAGTACGCAGTCAGCGACTGGGGAGCTGAGGTTTCGAAGCAGACAAATCGATCACGCGTAAAAGTGCGCACGCGGCGGTTGAAGTAGAGACTCGTAGTTCGTAAAAAAAAATAAAAAGAATAAACTTACACAATTATCATCGTAGTACAATGTATTATTTTAGTCAGAAATTAAGGAATATACTAAGTTATAACTAAATGTAGACAAATTAATAATAAAACAGCTGATTGTTTGCTTTGTTTATATAGTAACAAACTGTTCAAACTTCTGTATTGGAATTCGGTATCCGATATGATCTAATCGCGTATTATAATATATTGGAACATATAATAATGCAGTGTATATTTATTAGAATGTGAAAATTCGTGTAGTGATCACTAATCATTTGGAATAACCGCTGGATATATGTGTTACGGGGTTATAATTCTACATTGGTGCAATGGGAGCCGTAAAGAGCAAGTTCACAAACTGGTTTTCGAGATGCATCTGTTGCAAGTGTGGAAGATCTAATTCGTACGACCTCAACGATCTGCCTCGTCCGCGACAATTGAACACCTCTGACGGTAGGTCAAGGTCTATTAGACATATGTAAATAAGTTTGATATTTCGACCGGTATAGGGGTGACGTAATTTGAGATTCTTAAAATACCTATTCGTAGATATTGTACTTACAGTATATAGAAATAGGAAGGAGTTGGAATATCAGAATTTACTATTTAAAATATTTATATGGAAATGAGCGCATTATTTCAGCGTCAGCCAAGTTTTGAAGACTGGCAAGTGGGAGGAGAATTCAGTTTTCTGTTTATTCCATTTATTGCATTATTCCCCTAAGGTTACCAAGGTAATATCAATAACTTAGACCTCATTATCATTCTACATAATGAAGGTACAACTTGTATCGGGTTCTTGATATTTCAAATAGAAAAATAAAGAATATACATGTTTGATAGTCGCTTACTAATTGAATGTAAATAATTGTTATATTTTTGTTATATTTCTATATTTAGTATATATTTTTTGTAATAATTATATTATTTGTACTAAGAATCATTGTAAGATATTCTTAGTTTAATTTCTCAATAGACAGATAAAGTCGCAACGTAAGAATTTACCATTGTGTTTAGGCATCCTAAAAATAAAAGAAATAAAATTTTAGTTTAATTATTTTCTTCAAAGAAGTTACACAAACGAGTCACCATAAAAACAGTTAATTTATTCTTTGTTACGTCCGTAATATTGACATAAATCAAAAGTTCTTTAGAAATGGGTCAGAGACGTAGAGAGGAAGCACAGATCTTGTCGTTAATACTTCTTTAGAAGTCGATCCAACAATAATACTAAGTCTATTTCGTCATGTTAATGATATTTAATATGAGGTGTTTTATTTTTTAATAAAACACCTAATTCTTTAATTAATATATAGGAGACCTTGAGGTGATTGTATTTGAAGCTACTCTAGGTAATATGCTACCTTAGATATATACATAAACTAGCTGTGCCCGCAGATTCACCCACGTGAAATTTATAGCTTGTATTATTCTGATTTATTGCTATATTATTGTAAAGTTTCGTTAAAATCTATTTAGTAGTTTTTGAGTGAAAGAGTTCATGTAACTTTTTTATAACGGATGTGGTAAAGCGAGGGCCATCCATCCAGTCTCACAAACTTCCGCATTTATAATATTAGTAAGACGCATATCGAATTCCAAGCTTCCGTCAAGAAATAGGTGCCTAATATAGTATCTCGTGATCGGGATAAATAAAGCAATTAAAATGCAAACAAGTGTAAAATTAGTTATGGACATGTTCATCACCCACTGTTCGTTTTATTGCTTATCCTTGAATTGTTTCTTTTGTGTAACTACATTGTTTGTAAGAGTGTAGGTCTAATTTGAACTATTATATCTACTTGGCTACGACGAAAAAATCTTTTCGTATGGTATGGAAATTTTTTTATGAATAGTAAATGTAAAAAGAATACAAATTGGCACAACCGAGACTCGAATTTACATTTTGAGATGTTTATATTATCAATTGGCATCAGAGGTATGTAAATGTGAGTGATCTGTCGTGTGAGACCTTCGTCCTCCAACGCTACTGTTTGTAAACTAGTTTACACTTTGTATATAACTCGGCAAATTCTTAGTAACTCGTAGACTTTGTTACTGCCATATTCGCTAGTGGCTCAGCAGACTTAAAGTGATATATGTATCTTTTTACAGGTATATGTCTATTTTTTAGATTTGCTGTAGTTGTCCTCTCTCTCTTTTTAGTCCTATACTTTGACAGAATATTCGTGGTTGTTATGACCCTGACATTCTACTGTTATGTAGTTGTGCCGCCAAGTAGTTTGTTTTGGAAGCTGTGTTCCGGTTTGAGTATTAAAATTGCAGGATACCAAAGTATGATATCTTAGTACTCAGGAATTGCAATGTATAGAGGTAGAAGGACGTCATTCAGTAATGAGGCAGTGAAATTATAGTAGAAATTACAGTCAATAGAGCCTTCAAAATACGGGAGTTGTATATTCATAAACTGTTTTTTTTCAATCGTTGTTTTGTTAACATGTCATTCAAAAAGCATTTTTCTGATATTTATATGTATTTATAGGCACACTGATGGAATCATATATCTTCAATTATCTATCACGCTATCACGGACAAAGTCTACTTTTTCTAGAAACTTATACAATGTTGATTACGCATTAGCGGTCAATCGACACGGTGTATATGTGCATATTATAATAGATACATACCTAGTTCCTACCTACATTGTATAGTGTCGAGCAATCGCTTATTCACATCACAAACTGACGTAGGAATAAATTTTTAAGTATGCATATGTTAAGATTACTTACTTTAGATGAAAGAATATCCAAAGGAAGTCCAGGAAAGAATATCAAAGAATAGATAGGGCTATATGTCCTTCCTTCCTTTCATTTAATGGTAACACATATTTATTAGATTTGACAACCTGCTTTCCAGATTCGATATTGCAGAATTGTGGGTATGTTAAAAAATACTAGTGCTGATTATTCCATTTAATAATAAAAAAAGTGAAAGTAATACCTTTTTAAGTAGATAATATTTAAAATTGAGACGATTCAATAGTATTGGTAGAAACAGTATTAGTAGATATAGTAGTTGATAATAATATGTTGATAAGTATATATCGGAAAGTAATAAATGAATGAATTTAACATTTTGAATATAAGAATATAGATATATATGTTTAAATATTCACGGAATCTTTGAGCTCTAAAATATTTTTTAATACATCTACATGGAATTTAGTAAAATAATATTATGTTATTACAAAAATATAATACATGATATCACAATATGGAACATTAAAGAATCTTAGGCTTGAATTAAATAAATGTAGATATAAATGGAAGAAACCTGGGTGTAGTATCTAAACTTACTGGCCAAGGTAAACGAGATCGACTCGTAAGTGTGGCGCGTCCGTACACACGTCACACGTCAACTAAAGCAAAACAAAGTTCTATTTAGTTTCTATGCAACAAAAAAAAACGGTACTTACGTTTAATCATTATTACAAAGTTGTATATAATATGTTTATTGCGAATTTTCTTTTTAATTTAATTCATTATTTATATAACTGTTTCAAACATAATACTAAGGGTGTAATTACAAACATACTCGTACTTTAACAAATATTTGCAGACTGACTTCATAGCGATTTATTGGTGTACTATTGGTATAATAATATTTAAATAAAACTTATATATAAATTGGGAAAGTACCAAAGAACTGAGGAAATTATTAAATAGGTTTATTAAGATGGAAATCTACATTGAAAGGGCTGAGCTACACCTGGACAGAATCAATTAAAATTTAAAGGTATTAGTTAGGAAAAGAATTGTAATAAGACTTGTATATCGAAGGTCATCGCATACACTGTTGAGAACAGATTGAAAAATTCCATCTTTCATTATTCGTAGTTTTGATAATAAAAATAATTATATAGGAAGAATGATAAATCTATATTTATTAATTTTATTGTTATAAACAGTAAAAAGATAATTACTTGTTCATCAGACTTGTAGATCAATTCGCAATGTGAATGCATAAGATAATGATGCTTGCGAAGATAACCATTTATGAGCATGAAACCTACGCGGATGACGACTGTGGGACTGTGTGGGAAATATCTATTAAATGCTTATTATTTCAAGGTAACATTATATATCCCGGTATAGCCAGTTTCGCTCCCACACATGTCATTAATACCAAATTCGATGAATACAGTGCTAATAACCACGTAAATTATGAAACTGACATATAAGATTTAATATCTAACCAAAAGAAATAACATGTGTTTTTTCTATATATATATAGAATGATCCCAGAACAAGAGATATTTTAAAGAAAACATGTTAGTTAAAATTATTAGTACTCTTTTGAGTTTTTATTGGTCAGCATAATACCTAACAATAAGTACAAATAGTACTACTTGTTGTAGATAATATTAGCACATATTATCTGCGGTAGATTGAATATTCTATCTTTATGTTCTCGCTTTTACAATGATGACGATCAATTGACCCACCAATTAACATGCTGAGGTCAGGACGGCATTATTAAATGAAAAGATTTATAACTGATAAAATTGAATTTAATCAAATAAGTATCTTTAAAATAAAGACATTTACTAAATGTAAATAAAATATAATACAGTCTAAATTGCATTACCGTTATTAAATATGTATATGTACATGTCTACCTATTAAGAAGTGAATGTTTTTGTTCATAGTAGTGGATAGTACCTATGTACTTTCGTTCGGTATCATTATTTTACTCTCACGATTTGAGTACTATTAATATATTGATACTTTTTGACATTATTATGAGGCATATAAGTTAGGAATATTAAAGGAAGTTATCGGAAGTTAATAGCTATTTAGAATTGAAAAATATTCATTTTTTCACGTATTATCTGAGAACTTATAGTCATTGACAGAAAAGATTAGGGTTATAATTGACTGATAGAGTGATCTTCTTGTCTGACATAAAACAGTTAGAAATAAAAAGCTATTATATTTGCACCTAATCGAGAATACAATCTTTTGTTTCTTTTGTTTTTTATCTCTAGAATCTTGTAAGAGATGGCTAAAGGAACAATGTATTTATTGTAGCATTCTAGTGCAATAGTAGTATTCTATAACCTTCTTTTGTAAGGAGAAACCGTCTCTAGAGTGTAGCATTAATAGCTAATTAAGATGAGAGGATGAATGACATAAAAAAAAAACTAAATTAACGCTTTCGTTACTCTGATGTATGTAAATTATAATCATTCTCATTCATTTCGGTGTAACAATTATTGTAATGGAATATTTGTTACACCGAATTGATGTAATAACCGATAATTGCAATTATAATAATCACGATATTTATCATCAACGATATTTTCTTTCATTGGCAGTCATTAAAATCAAATGATGTCTGTCTTCTTAGACACATCAGCAGTGATATTGGATGCAAGTTTTTCCATCATTGTCATCGTAAATCCAACAAATATTTAATATTATAGTGTGATCTATTCGTATACAAACCATTTGTGACAGTAACTCTATTAATGTTCTTAGAAATAAACACAGTCGTGATGTATAAGATATAATAATTTATGACATAATGTTATTTTGTCAATGATTAACATCTTTGGGTATGCTTCAGCTCATTGACTGATATGACTAATGTAGAGTAACCTTGGTTCTGTCAATGATATATCCATTTCCTAGTAACTGGAGAAGCTTTTCGGATCTCGTTGATTGTATGACATCACCTTTGTGTTGGTGGTGGTGCAGTCAGTTGACCATGGCTGGTATCCACAGTTCTCGGCGGTATGCAAAAACTACCACACGCTTATTGAAACGTTTGAAACAATTTTACAACATTAGAATATTAATTCGAAGATCGATTTATTATTAAATATTACTGAGATAATGTAAAGTGATCTAGTGAGATTATTTAATGTTAGTGCTCCGTACATTCAATAGATATGGAATACGTTAAAAGTTTGTGGAGACATTTTTTCGGGAGGCGACAGAAATTTGTCATAGTACCATTTCAGCCAGGTAATTAATTATACAGACAATTAATTTAAATGATTACTGTGATGTATATCTAATGCACCATTGTCTAAGTGTTCGTCTCAAAAAATACATAAATTAGGTGCTATTTAAGTGGACGTGTAATTTATACTCTAACTAAGTTTAAAATGTAATAGTGTATAGATTAAAGTAGATATTAATAAAATATATAACATATCTATTTATAAATTGAGATAGATAAATTGTGAGCATCATTATTAGATGTTAGAACTTTTAGTTTAATTGAAACCACTGTTATTTTTGAAGATTGACGTTTTGGCGCGCATCCAAATACTCTCATCATTTTCATTTCGGTTCGAACGATGACTAATACTATTCCAATATTAATGATATATACTGAAATGGTTACGACCAATTATGTGTATATAAATAAGACGTTATAAAAATACGATTAATACAGCAGAGTATTAGGTACCTACGTTATTTCTAACTAGTTACAGGTGACCTAATATGCGTGGGACAAACAGTGTCTATAAAATTTATTGTTTTATAATTAGCTAGACAATTAATAATAATAAACTATTTTGTTTATTCAGATGTCGACTATGGAACGAAGCAAGGCGTGCTCGCTGTTCAAGGAATCGATTTCTGCATAGAAACCAATGGGGAAGATCATCATACAAGTAAATTCAACCTGATGACAAGAAATGTCGACAGATGTCTAGTTATTCGACGAGGCCAAGCGTTCAAATTGGATCTGTTACTAAACAGACCATATGATGCTAACAAAGACGCTGTTTCCTTTATATTCTACGTTTCAGGTATGTAGTAATTATTTATTAAAACACACATATGAAGCCGACACAAATATGTATTTATTATTCGGTATGACTCAAAATAGTTACGATATACTATACGCTTCCTAAGTACTTAGGTATTACAAATGCGGAAGTTTATGAAGATTTTTAGATATTGCATATATTTTAGCTACTTACGCTAAAAGGATTTGGTTCGGCATATAAATAGACCATATTATAAATAATAAACAATTATATATAATTTTTTAAGAGAGTTCTTAGGGTAGTCTTTAGATACCTGTAATACTGAGGGCATTAAAAATTTATGGTGCTCACCCAGTTCTAGTTTGTTATATAAATTTATATTTTATATTATATTATCAAATTATAACAAACTAGAACTGGGTGAGCACAATAAATTTAATATAGATAGATAGATAGAATATATTATAGTTTATACGGAATACAAACAAAGACTAATATAATTACAATCGTGGAATATGTGAGTGAAAAACTACGATACCCATATATTGGTGATAACAACGCGATTAATAGAAACGTTTATTGTACCGCATACCGGTACTTAACATAGCCGCGCGGCTCGAATGTTTAATAATCTGTGGCGATTTTGGTTTGCGCGGGAAAATAAAAAACGGAATGTGAAATTAATTCCATATTAATTCTGTTCCGCTGACAAATTAGTTTCTGGTTACAGAACCAGAAACTAATTATGCCTATAATTAAAATAATTAATAATAAAAAAATATTTTTTTTTGTAGGAATCTGTGCGACAGTTCATTATTCGGCATGGATTGATTGCATTGATTAATTTTTAATATTTTATCCGCATATGCAAACCCACCCCAAAAGCCCACCTCATAAAATCGACACAATTTTTATACAAACTTTCTAGGTAAAAGTTTTTATATGAATTTAATTCTCAAAAGGACGGTGTCTATTCTTATAAAACGTAGTATTAATTGCTCTGTATTTACAAGTGTTTGTTACTAACCAACATGAATAAAGAATTCATGTAACTTTTTTATAACAGATGTGGTAAAGCGAGGGCCATCCGATGACTCATCAGCTGCGGTACCTTTATTGGAAAAAGGATCGGAAACTGTCGGAGGGTGGAATGTGGTGTACGAAGGGCAAATGGATTCTCACCTGATGGTAGCGGTGACTGCGGCAGCTGATTGCATCGTCGCTGCTTGGCGTATCGATATCGATACAAAAATCAGTGGTGGGGGATCACTGAGTTACACTCATCCACAACCCATATACATACTCTTCAATCCATGGTGTTTGAATGACAGCGTATACATGCCAGGTAATAATATATTAATTTTTGAACAATTGGTAGTGGTAAATAAACTAAATTGACAGGTTCTTTATAGAAAGTGATCGATTATAGGATAGTTACAAATACAAAAATAAATAGTTTTTGATAAATATCTAAATACACAGCGCCACCTAGTCCCAACCAGGCAAAGCTTGTAGTAAGGATTTTTTTTGTACATTAAAATATTCAACATAGAAAACACCCAGACCAATACAAACAATCATACTCATGAATACAAATATTTGTTTCGTGCAAAGAATCAAACCCGCGACCATCGAAACTAAGGCGGTGTGCCAAACCGCTAGACCACCGAGGCCGTAAATGTCTTATAATGATTCGTCACGAGATCAAAAGGATGTTATGGATGTTTTTATGTCGCGGTCAAGTTTATTATTGCAGTTAACAATAAAAAATCTTTTGTTTTAGGCCACAGTCATCGTGAAGAGTATGTACAGGAAGATGGTGGGCTAATGTATAGAGGTGTATATAACCGTATCAAACCTACGCCGTGGAACTATGCACAATATGAGAGGGACATCCTGGATTGTGCCTTGTATCTAGTCAGGGATATTGGAAAAGTAAGTTTTCAAACAGATCAACGAGAAGGTCAATATGCGTATAATGAAATTTACTGAAACAGAAAACGACCATTATCGATAGACTATTTAAACAAAACAAATATTATTTTTCTTTCACGTATACATTTGTGTGAAAATATTTACTGCGATAGCGAATGTCATAATCTGCTAAAACAAATTTTAAATGTATTAAAGATATTATCTACGTTGAAAAGTAAAATTTCCGCAGCTCATAAATATGGATAATATGAGATTAAACTCTTATTATTGTGACTTTACTAGGTATCTTCGTTTTAACAAAACTAACAACAATGTAAAAAACTATTTTTGTATAAAATATTGTATTTTGTTATTCGTAGTGCATCCCATTAATAGTTTCTTTTGGTCTTACTTTTACATAGTGTGATATATTATTTATGAAAACCAATTGAATATTATCAATAATAATGATTTCTATGTTATACCAGGTAAAAGGTCGTTCTAGAAGTGATCCCATTAAAATAGTTCGTGCTCTATCGGCAGCCATAAATGTACAAGACGATAATGGGGTTCTATTCGGAAACTGGAGTGATGACTTTGGTGGGGGTACAAGCCCACTGAAATGGGTGGGTTCACTTACGATACTGCAAAAATATTACGAGAAGAAAAAACCTGTAAAATATGCACAGTGTTGGGTTTACGCTGGTGTTCTGACCACTGGTAAGTTAACAATAAGTAAATATAAATATATATGAAAAAATATTAATCAGATAATCTTACTAATAATATAAGCGCAAGTTTTTGAATATGGATGGGTGTTTGTTAGTCCTTCACGCAAAATTACTAAACGGATTTTGATGAAACTTTACACTAACACAGCTTAGACATATATCTTATACATCAGAATAACACATAGTAACACATATAAATTTTATTCATCTGGTGAAGCTGTAAAAGCATTAGAGTAGTCCGAAAAAAAGTATTCCAAAGAAAAAAAAAATACAATTACAATAAAAACTTAAAGGGTAATGATATTTTTTTCATTAGTTTGTAGAGCCCTGGGTATTCCATGCAGGCCGGTAAGCGGTTATGACGTAGCACATGATAGCCAAGGCAGCTTAACCATAGACATTATCATGGATGAAGATGGAAATACCTTGGAAGATTTCACAAGGGATTCTGTTTGGAATTATCACGTCTGGAATGAGGTAAAGATTTATCTAGTTTACAGCAACGGGAACCTCGTTTCTTATTTATGTATTTTGGTAATGTTAAGTAAGTGCTCCATCTGGATTATCTTTCTGCCCTGCTTTCATTGCTTTGGGGTCATGTTTTATATTACTGTGCATTACTGCTCTCATGTTTAAGACCAGTCCTGACGTCAAGTCTATTTGCAAATGCATTTGTTAGCGATTAAACTATCATTTAAGGTATGTTAGAAGAGTAGAGATAAAAAAACATAAGGGTCAGGAACTGGGAAGTGGATAAAGGAAATGGGTATATTAGGGATCAAGCAAAATTGGATGCTGTAATTAGATTAGAAAGGAGCTCAGGGTTGAAAATCCATAAGTTCTTACTGTAGACCTAATCTATGACCATTACCCATTATAAGTAAGTGTCATGTCTTTGTCCTATGTCTTCGTACTCTGCAATTACATTGTCATATTTCAAACCTCATGACTTAAAAAGCAATCTGCCAATACTGGTATTTCCACACACCGTAGTTATAAATTCCACTCGCAAGTCAATAAAAGCAACCCACAGGGTAATCAATTCACTAATAATAGTTACAAGAAATGTTATGTTAGAAGTTACTAGTTTAAATTTAGACATACACTTTTAGTCTTCAATGTTGTAGGTAGGTAGGTAATATTGTGTTTGAGTAGTATTATGTAATTGGTAAACATTGAGTGAAATAATTTTATTGACTGACTGACATCAGACGAAACACTAAATTTACTTATTATTATTTCTAATTTTGCACTGATTCATATTCTGATATTTAGTTTTCTTAGATACTCGTATATACCTACTTGTTCGTGTAATAAGAATGATTTTGGGAATTTGACTTTGTCTTTGAATTGGATAAATAGAATTGGAAGGTGTTATTACAAGTACTTCATGCTGGGAAGGGTAGGAATAAAAGTAGTTGAGGAACAGGAATTTGGAAGTAGGGTAGTAGGTGGTAGAAAGTAAGGCAGTAGCTTGAGAGCCCCTATTCCAGAACAAGACAGTTCACTAGAATCGTCCATTGAAATACAATATTATTAATTATATAGTAGGAGTTCAGATAAGTTATGTAAATAAATTTAATCTTTGTTATGTAGATAGTTATAAAATAAATTCTGACAGTGGGCACAATTAATATATCGATGATATTATGAACTTTTTTAACGATAAACTGTATAAATAAAATTATTTATTATACTTAAATCTGGTAAGTATTTATTATAATCATATACATGCCATTTTTATGTATAGAGAGACCATCAAATTTAATAAATTGTTATTAATGAAAATAATATGTTACATTTTTACATTTTTCTTAAAGGAACCAAAAAACCTACCATGGAATTGACAGTTTTTTATCAATAAAGAACTCTAAACTTTTATTATTTATATATTATATTAATATATGATTATATGTAGTATAAAGTATAGTCAGTAAAATAAGTACTTACGTATATTTTAGTGTAAGTAAGTACATTTAGTGACATTAATTAATTTATTATATATTATCACAGATAATATAAATTAGTAAAATGAAGCGCTTTATGTTCCTTGTTCCCCGCTACGTCTACCAAGTAGAGAATGCCATCAGAGAATGTCATTCAGGCATTAAGTCCGCAGTATAAAATATTTCATTGTGTGTATAAGAATATAAATTACTATATTTTCCTTAATATTTAGTGTTGTCCATGATTCAATCTATTCATAAAGTAAATACCTACCCATATTGTTTTGTAGGGCATCATTGATTTAATTCTGTTTATTTTGTTCTTTAAGGTATGGATGGACCGTCCCGACCTTGGGTCCGAGTATAGCGGATGGCAAGCCATAGATGCAACTCCTCAGGAGACTTCCGAGGATTTGTACCGATGTGGACCAGCATCGCTGCAGGCGGTACGAAACGGGGAAGTACAGAGGGCATACGATGCTCTCTACGTATTCGCGGAGGTCAATGCAGATAAGGTAGGTCAAGTTAAATTAATTTTGTTATAATAAGTATCAATATTAATTTTAATAGAATTTTGTAATTAATATGACTCATTTATAAACTTATTGACATTAATAGCTGCCTTTACACGTACGCTCTTTGACTATCGTATTTTCACGCAGAAAAGATTGCATGCAAAATCTAGACAAAGAGAACGAGAAGGACCGCGCGCGATTCTATTTCACGCATTTCCACGTTCTTCATACGTGCGAGGTTTTGCGCTTTTTTGTAATTATTAATAATCATTATAAAAGAGCTGATATATGACTAATGAACAAAATATATCTGTATTAGAAAATAATGTTTGTAGAATATAAATTCAATTTTAAAAGAAAGTGAAATGACATAAGTAATACAATGAATGATATACTACTCGTATTAGAATCACGTACAGAAGAGTGAACATAAAAAATCCAAAAAAAAAATTTTTTTTTTCCCATATTCGTCCATCTCCTTTTCAGTGATGGAACAGGCAAAGATCCTTAGACCGTACAGCCTAGTCTACTTTTAAACTTCTTCATATTTGAACAAGTGATGAGGCCAAAGACCAATTCTTATGTATGTTTATTTATTATGTTTTCATTCGTGTTCAAAATTTAAGTCTTATCCGTAGTCCATATCCTTGTATCAATTATTTAAAGTTTTATCGATATCGAGGTAACGTATAAATATATATATATATGTTTCAAAATTCAGTCACATTTGCGTGCGCTGGCTATTTCGCGCTATATCACACGCGTCCTGATCGCGCGTTAAAAAACGTGTCGTGTAAAGACAGCTATTGTCTGACTTATTAAATATGATTGTTATTCGGACTAAGTTGTGAAATACGACGTGTTTTCACGGCGAGGATGCACTACGAACGTTGTGATACTGTTATAAAAAAACATTTCAATGTATTTACCCTACCAATTATTTAATAATGGCATTAATTTCCGTTAAGCATTATAATGCTTTTTGTGCTACATTCTGCTATGAAGCGATCAGTATATGATACGATGATGTAGTATTAGTCTTTAGGAATAGGAATACATGAGAGATTCACTACAGATGTGTAAAAGAGTCGCAGGCTTATTTAAATAAATTTTACAATAGATAAGTATCCAATAGACTTTTAGCCACCGACGAACATCTACATCTGTTTATGAATTAGAATATAATGTATTAAAAGAAACGCGGCTCTCAAAGAATAAATAATAACTGAACAAAAATATAACATGAGTTGCAATTTTTTTTTCTAGTTATAAATAGAGAGAGATGTTATTTTCTTTCAGGTATTATGGAAATACTCTGGGGAAATACAGCCACTGAAGTTACTGAAACGTGACACAGTTTCAATAGGACAATATATATCAACGAAAGCAATAGGAAATACGGAGAGGGAGGTAAAGGAACATTACATTTGCAATTTTTTTTATTGTCTTAAAATACACAAGGATCAGGTTTCTTAAAGGTTTATTGATTCGTGACAATTATAATATATTTATATATATTGTTACAATAGAAAGGATTCATACATGACATTAGAATAATTTTAGTACAATAATGTAGCTCATGCTTTTCGTCTGCATAAGCAATATAATATATTAATTTTAGAATTTAAATTCTAAAAGTCCATTTCTCCATTCATCCATCCTTTTCTAAAAGTAATTATAACTACAATGTTACATAGTATAAAACAAAATTGCTGTCGCTGTCTGTCCGTTCCTATGTATGCTTAAATATTTAACTTTTAATTCTACGCAACGGATTGTGAAGCGAATTTTTGTAACACACAGAGTGATTCTAGAGGAAGGTTTATATATATAATACATGTACACCCGTGCGAAGCCGGGGCGAGTAGCTAGTATTCTATGAAGTTAGAAAAACATCAATATTTTTTTGTTCTAATTTCAGACAGTCTAGATTTTCAGTTACATATTTTTGCAATACAATATTTTTCTGACGCTTTCTTTGTAAGATTAACCTATTAATTTAGTTGATCTAGTTTTGGGCTCAGTATCAAAATTTATAATTTAGTATGGCTCCTCTCCTATATTAATTTATTAATTAAAACTAGAAAAAATCACTCGCTAAATACATTTAAAAAATAGGATCAAATGACTTATCACTTACTTTATATTTCCAGGATATAACGAATCTGTATAAATATCCAGAGAGGACGCGGGAGGAGCGTGCCACTATGGAAAAGGCATTACGTAGGTCCGAGCATCTGTTCGCTCGGTACTACCTTAACGATGCCTTCAACGACGTCGTTTTTGACTTTGAACTAAGGGACGATATTAAGATTGGACAGGACTTTAATGTCGTAAGTAATTTTTGTATGAAATTATTAGGCTATGGTATTATTTGGTCACATAACAATTTCTGAACAATAGCTGAGTTTAAAAAAATTGTATTATATATGTATGTAATTATTATTTTTTCAAAAAAATTATATGCATGTAAAATGATCCATTCTTAATAAACTATTGAAATGATCTTGTATCACTGCCAAACAAACATTATTATCTTAAGTGGAACTCTAATGATCATATATTTCGATAGAATGTCTGTTTTTACATCCGTATATTTCTAAAGGAGTAATAAAGTCTTTCTTCAAAAGTCCTGTAGTCATAATTACTTACAGTTATTAATGATTGTAATGAATGCCTGCAGATTTATGTCTGTATCATTGGTGATGCCATAAGCTATTACGGTATATTATATCCAACAAATAAATAAATATATACGATAGTGCGTATGTCAGTCTGTCTGTGTATTACATTTTTACGACTAAACGTCTAAACGAATCTTAATGAAATTTAATGTCAAAATATATATTGTATCATGAGGACCACCTAGGGGAGTTCACCTAGCGGGTTTTAGTTAGTTTGCTATATGAGTGCAGAAACAAAAGATCCAGCTCCACGAGTATTACATTAAAACTACCGAGTGCTGATTTAGTGACATCATAATGATTTTAGACATCAAGATAAGGTTAGCTCACTGTATAGCAAGGTTAGATGTGAGGTCACCTTATAATTTGCTATTATAGACATACTTAAAAATATATTAGTTAAAAAAAAAGAATGGAATCGATGCAGTAACTGCACTGATTACTTGTATCCTAATATTTATTAATGATATTAAGTCATTTGAGGATAATTATTCCAAGACGATCTAGATTTTATAACGATTTTAACTCGTCAATAAGTATTAAATAAGTTATGAAACAAACATAGGCGTATATTATTTTATTCATATATTAAATTTTGTCAAAACTTTAATTGCAGGTTCTACACGTAAGGAACCGGTCGTCTGAGAACCAGCACCAAGTGAAGGGTGTACTCCGAGTGGACACAGTAACATATAAGGGCTTGACCGGCGACGGGGTGAAACGGTATGAGTTTGATACCACCCTCGCTCCGGAGGCGAAAGAACAAATAAAAATGCTAGTCACTTTCGATGACTATTATAAAAAATTAGTCGATCAGGTATAATTATTTATTTATTATTTAACGACACAGACATTGTACGAAATCCTTTACTCTTTCAACTATTTCTACTGCTATAAGTAATTTGCTTTGTAGTTTAGTTTAAAGGGCCTGCAGTGAATTTACCAAACATGGAGCCATGACACCTCCATACCCAGTTTCAACGTCAAATGTCGACGTGATATTCACGATTTTTGTTCCTGTCGATAGAAGACAATTACCACTCTCAAGCCATTGAGCTATCAGATGATACGCAACTATAGTTATACAATTTATACTAATTACTAAAATTATAAATACGAAAATTGTTCGTTGATATGTGTGTTCCCTTTTCATTACTAAACTAAACCTAACCTCTATGTCTTAGAGGTAACAATAGACGGCAAGCCTATTGTTACCTCTAAGACATAGAGGATAGCTCATAGTAGTAATGATTTTAGAGAAACAACGTGGTTTTCATTCATTCATGAAATGATTTTTAACATAAAGATAGATTTTATCATAGAGCCGGTCATAGGATATTTTATGTCTTAAAAAGTCACGAGCAAAAACTGGTAGGAAATAAATATAATTAACACATTATTGACTCCTTATGACATAATCCTTGTGGTATTTTATTGTACAATACAATATTATCCGTGAACAAATTGGAACTAATCCAAGTAGAGTTTTATCTGACACATCTGGGTAGTTACTGACCACATTGTATTACTAATTTCTGTCATTGATATAGGAATGTGTGCATTGTTATTTTGGTTTGATGAAATATTTACTAGTGCAGTATCCGACGTACATTCACTTAGATTCACAATTAGCTGCACAATGTAACTCAATAGCAATTTGGTTTTATCTTAATAGTTGATAGTTGGGATTAGCTAACAAAAATACAATAAATTTATTAATTTTAGGTAATAATGTGTATAAAAGTTTAATAGATTTCCGTTTCGGATTCGCGCTGGTGGTGTTTTATAAGGATGTCTTTTTTTTAATTAAATAAGGCTCTTGTTGCTAAGTCAAATTTAGGTGATGCTGAAGTGAAAATATATCAAAATAGACCTTTCTATTGCCACTTCATATGTTTTATAATAAGTTTATAAGTTTATCCATTAGGAACTCAAAATAGCATCGGGAATGCGCGAGCAGTATCTCGCAACCCAGATAGATCTTTAACTTATGAAATATCAACCATATACCTAAGGCTGTAAGATTCCGAATGCAATGCAATGACTCTATCCTACAGGCGTCGTTTAACATCGCATGCATCGCAACAATAGTGGAAGCGAAGTACGACTACTTTGCACAAGATGATTTCCGGGTACGAAATCCAGACATCAAGATCGTGTTTGAAGGAAAACCGGTTTCCAGACAAGAGTTCACTGTGACCGCTAAACTTGAGAACCCTCTGCCAATTCCGCTGAAGAGCGGCAAGTTCTACATACAGGGTCCAGGCTTGGATCAGCAACTTAAGATTCCGTTGACCGAAGTAAGTATAATACATAAATAACTACTACTAACTATAATCGCAACTCATGGCAATTCCTATTCGTATTTAGCGGCCTCAGTTGTCTAGCTGTGTATCGTACTGCCTTAATTCTGATAGTCGCGGTTTCGATTCCTCGCACAGTGTAAACATTTGTGTATAAATATTTGTATTTCTTGTCTAGGTATTTTTAATGTATGTACAGTATTAGATATATATGTATTAAAAAAATGTGTTTAAGCAGTTCTATCAGTTATCTATTGTACCCATAACATAAGCACTTAGCTTGGGACTAGATCATGCGTGGTATTTTCATCATTCAATTGCATGATACTCTTATCCGTGGTATTTTCATTATTAATTCATCAAATAATTAGTATATTACCTATATAGGCGACGGTTACACATCTAGCTTATTTGCCTTTCCAATTAGGTACAATGTTTGTTACTCAAGCATGGTTATTTTATTAGACGGATTTAAACGAAATCTGATACATACATATTTCTACTAGCTGACCCCGTAAAAGTTATTTTGCCATTAAACAAAAATCGGTTTTAAAAAATAGATTTTCATGGTAAAAGGATGAAATATTGGGGTTAAATGTATTTTTAATTACACACATAATAAAAAATAAAAATGTATTTTTAATTACATACATAATAAAAAATAAAAAAAAATTGTCAGGGATGGACAACTCTTATCATTTAGGGGTATGAAAAATTGATAGTAGCCGATTTTCAGACCTACTGAATATGTGTATAAAATTTCATAAAAATCGGTTAAGCCGTTTCAAAGTCGTATGGTAATTAACATTTTGACACGTGAATTTTATGTATAAGATATATATAATATATAAACTTGGTACACATTGAAAAGATTATATTATATATTAATTTAATATAAGTACTATGACTAAAAAGATATCTAAACTTATTTGACTCAATTTATGTAATTACCGATCAAATGCTTAGCATTTATTTCTGCTAAATCACATGTATCTGCTATTCCAGAGTGTAGCACCAGGGGATGTTGCAACAGTGCAGTTCAAGTTGACTCCACCGTGGGCCGGACGCCACCAGATCTCCGCCAAATTCGATTCCAAGGAATTGCATGATGTCGATGGCTTCCTGTCATTCCTTGTAGCGATGCCACAAGAAACTAATGGATATAGCAATGATGTTACAAATGGTCATCCAGTTTAATTACATTACGACTATTATCCTAGATAGAGTGGGCAGACCTTGATATTGATCTGTGTTATAGTGAACGCAACACTTTACACGCCCATACGCGCTACGTATATTTGAATCCGAAATTGTAGGGAGCAGGCCTAACACAGTTAAACCTGTTAGTGTAAATATTGACAATAAACTATTTTTTATGTAACAAAAAAAGGCAAACAAGCTGATGGCCCACATGATGAAAAGTAACCCGTTTATGTACACATGAACAGAACTACAGATCTCACTTTGTAATGTGATGTAATTAAATTATTATACAAAATATTTTTATTATTATGGTGTTTCGTAGAGTTCTGTTGGAAACTGGTCATAAAACCTATGATATTAGATGACTAAAATTACAGAGTCTAAAGTGATATATTATTTTTATATCGATTATCTGAAAATATGACGGCGTGATTGAATTCAGTTAGTTCATGAATACTACTTTGATGAACTTTTATCTGTTATGTAAAAATTACATACTTTTACATGTTATGTTAACTTATAGTTAAATCATCCTCATATACTTGATTGTTGTATTAATATTTAGCACATTTAATTATGTTAATAAAAAAATGACATAGGTTCGTGTTTTCTACAATGTCAATCAACAGCTAGATGATTAATAAATAAGACGTTAGTATATAAAACGTGTCAATTATACCATACAGTTTACAATTTATTCAAATGTTTACAATTAGCTATTGTTATCTAGCGTCTAGTATTTAAATGAGACAGAATTAAAGAAACAAAGAGATTACAAGATAGGCAGATGTATGTGAATAATTTTAAAATTCTAAAGCAGCTTAGAAATATCTTTTAATATCTATAATGATTAAGAGGCTTGTATGTATACTAAACACTCAAGTAAACAGGCTTTGAACAGTTTATAAATAACAGTACTGCCATTGTACAGAGCCATCTAGTCCCTTACTATAAGCATACATGTACGTACTAACTAGTTTTCCTTTTAGCTTGTAGAAGTGTCATATATTATTCGCAGTAGACAATAGATGGCGGTATAATTACATTAATGATTAAATAATTTTTAAACTGTTTTACAATCTAAGCATCTGCATAAATTAAATTATTATATAAATTAAATATTTTCACATTATTATGCATTATATTAGTTATAACTACAGATACTCGTGTTAAGTTTGTAATTGTTCATGTTAACATCAAATAAATATATTACTTCTGTTAAACATATGAAATGTAGAGATAGTAAATAAGAAGGCTCTATCCCATTGAGTATTTATTAATATTGGATTATTTTTTTAATACGGTCTACACCACTAGTCCCACTGAGTTACATTGGACAAATATAGCTATTATTTTAATATATCTAACTATTATGTTCTATATTCCTGTATTATGATTTTTTAAAGTGGCCAATTTTGAAGGATTATTGTACAGCGTTTTTGTTTATAGGTATCTTACATTTAAGTTTAAAAAAAATTGAGAACACGACAATAACATAATGTTGTTAAATATAATTAAGTAGGTAGATATTTATTAAAAATACGTAATGAACTTTTACTTTTATTTAAAAAATATATAGTTTAATATTTATATTTTAAATTATAGGTTTTAAATAAGATCTGGAACTGATGGATCATCAACAAAATCAGGAGAAGGCTGTTTTGTTTGTAATTTGAATCGGGGATCAATGTATTCTGGTTTATATGAATTTTGAGTCATTTTAGTAAAATCTAAAACGTTATCAGCTGGCCCTATTTCCAGATATTCTCTTTTTGTTTGACCTGTTTGAAGATTAGAATTCTCTGGTTTATGCTCCGTGTACCATTGAGATTTACTATCAGCGCCGTTCTCTAGCAAAGGTTTTTTGAAGATGGCATTTGCTTTCGGCATTGTAACAAGCAGATGTCCAGTGGTTTGTGATCGTTGCGCTGTGGAGTTAGTAGTGTCAACATCCTCCGGTAGATGGAGCTGAAATACTTTACCCTTGATAACAACACGCACATAATTGGGTTGGATGTCGATATCGACCAAACTAGTATCTAAATGCTTATATACAGCTAAATCTAATACGTATTTAGCAGGATCAGAATCGTTGAACATGAAAGATATTTTTGCTTGATTAATATTAAAGGGTCTACCGTCTGGTGCCAATAATTTGTATTCCCTTTTTTCTTCCATCTTCTTTTCAGTGTTGTAACTATTTATCTTCAACTGTCGCATTTTTTCTATCTCATACCGAACTTCAGGAGCATGTTCACATTTTTCAGACCAAAATTTTTTATTCCGGTCATCTGGATCCATGTCCTTATATTGGTTCTCCCATTTTGATTGAATATCTTTTTCTAATCTTGACTTCTGTTTCATGCGTTGATGTTTGTAGTTATTTTGTTCAAACAGTATATCAGATACGATTATTTTAAGATTTTGTAAAGCTTTTATTCGATCAGATCGTTCAATATCCTTGCCATCCAAACTTTCGAGTTGCGGCAAAGTTCCAATAACAAAATCTCGATAGTTATCATAGTCTGTGCATGGATTTCCAACGAGATATAAATTGTTTAAATTGTAATTATTTATAAGATTTTTCACACTAAGTATGTCACCTATAAAGTTCAAAGTCAGATCGAGTTTTTGTAAAGATTCACACCTTTCCAAATTTTCTATAATCTCAATGTTATTTAATGCTAAATTAAGATAAGTTAGGTGCTTTAGTTTATTAAGATTTTCTATTTTTGCAATGAGATTACTTTGCATTAAGAGTATTTTAAGTTTTGGACACCAATCCTGTATGAATTCAATTTTCTCGATATTTTCTTGGTGCAGTGCTATTTCTTCTAGTGGCGCAAGGAGCCCATCGTGGTGTTCAGCTTTCTTTCGAACCATTTCGACAGTTATTCGTACCATTGCAGTAGTTATGTCCTGTTCACTTAATTATTATTGGTATTATCACGTAATAATGCAATATTTTCTAAATACACGTTATATTCTTATATGATCATTACGTTTTAGTCAACTCTATGAAAGTTGTTATGTTCGTCATGACAACAGTTGCCTAGCAATTGTAGTAATTGTTGATAACTATAATCAACAAGATGAATTGATAGAATTAAAAACTAGAAGTAGATACTGGTATATCATTGGTTGTTATTATGAGCTAATAAATTGCTTTAATGCCACAATAATGATTTATTGATATTCAAACTAATTCTTACACTACTATCTATCTAATTAATTTTAGGATATTGTAAAAGGAGAGTAAAAGAAACTAGTATCAGGTAGATTCAAATTAAAGCCATCGCGGCCTTTTATGTGTTAGTGTAATTACTAAGTCTTGACATCCTTTATGAATTCGCACTATTTGGGATATACCTAATTATAATAATGAAAAATGGAGTGAAGTATAACATATGACATTAATTAGGTAGTGAGTGCCTTCTGTAGAGAGTAGTTATAAAATCAGTGTGATCTGTGAGTTATCTTTCCATCTGCAGGTTGGTAATCCGTCATTTAACATTCCGCCGGTGGCAGCGACACCGCTCCACTCAAGCGTACTAAATTAATATCGCCGTGATGTAGAGGGTATTAAAATATTTTAAACGACGCCATTTATAATATGACGTTCAGATATCAAGTCGCGAGAACACAACATATTTTATTCCACGAAACTGCCAAAAGACAATGAGGATGAAGGATTACTATCATCAAAGGTTCGTTTTATTGTTAATGTTTGAGGTCGGTTCACAGGACGAAAAAATGAAGACGGTGAAAAAACAAGAGACGCTCGGATGAAATAAGGCATGACAGAGGGAAAGAGTGTGTTATTAGTGGTAGGGTGCGGGCAGGGCGAGGCGCCCCGCGGTCTGTGTGTGTTTAGGGGGCCACGCAGCAAGACGCCCCGCGGAGCTCCCACCCGGACCTGACGTACACGACGTGCCCACTTATTGAAAGCAGCCAATTTAACATGTTGTTGTTTAAACAAATACCCGCGTGTCGTGAGCGGTTTAGGGGTTTATTGAAAATCTAGTGGAGTATCACTGCTAAATAATACAGTTTATAATATAATTATTCATGATGTAAATATTTGATTCGTATGATTTAAGGTTCCGTAGAATGTATTAATTATAATGTCAATATCTCTATTACTGAGTTGCTAATCATTAAAGAACAATTAGAGTTAGAGAGAATTGATACATGCAAATCTTTAGGCTCCTGTAAGTAACCAAACTACACACTTAAAGTAGATGGCTGTTTGTCTTGTGCCAATAGTATAGGTTTTTATTAATGACCATATTTTTGCTTCCACGTATGCGCTTTTGGTCTACGCTTGTTTCACCTGAGATATTTTTATGTTCTTTGAAGTGTTTTGGTTTATTTTGAATCAGAATATAATAGTTTAATACTTAAACTATTCGTTGTACAATAGTGTACTGATAATAGTCATGTAAATTACCAAATTACAGAAAAATACATCTGCGTATAAAAATAACATAGCGAAAATATAGGTAATGATAGATAAGATATAATTTAGTGTACACTAGTATGACATGACCTTCATAATAGTATGAACTCGGATACAATGTTACGATTATAGTATTTTGAAAATAATACCTAATTATTGGTTTGATACTGTAATTGTCTTCGAATAATAAGTTTACAAAGTTGCATTTAATAGAGCAGTAATTTTGCTCCTCCAATTAACAATTTGTCTGCAGGTGCTGAGTTTTCGCTCGGATGCTCCGTATCGTAACTTGCAAAGCTGTTGTCACGCAAGTGTCGGTCCACGTCAAAATAGCAGTCATCACTTCGAATTCTCATATTACCTACAAGTAAAAACATATAGGTACCTATGTATATTTTTTGGTCAGTAGGGTGTTAAATATGTATAATAAGGTCTAGGTAGTTATTTGTTAGATTCCGTTACATAGAAAATGTTTCGTACTATATTCTTGGATTCCGTAGAATTCTCTAATTAGATAAATGTTAGCCCATGTTTATCCTCGTAATAAAGCCTCGTAAAAGTAAAATAAATTTATAATTAAAGATAATTATTTTTATCATCATGTAAAATTTCATTATGATTCGTTTAACTGTTCAATTATGAAATGGTAATATTTGAATACGCTCTTGACTTGGTTGGCGATATTTTGTGCAACATGCAGTTGGCGCAAAATATATTGTATGCTACCTGCTAGGCGTACTATGCAAATGTATTTGATATGACATTAAAATTAAGGTTTACGGACGCATAATTTCTTAATCTTAGGAATAGCAACGAATTAGGATTAATAACGAAGGACATTACGTGACGACGTGATGTCCTTGGAATTGTTGTACATGTGCCTATAAACGACTAAGTGCAATATTACATATAGGCTACGCTTGTCGTTTACCATGACGTGAAGCGTGAATTTGTTAGCTATTCAAGATGATTATATTTTGCTTCCTGTTACAATTCTGAAATATTCCTGCTGTCGCTAATAATGTAAAACGATTGTATAAGTAAGTATTAGAAGCTTGATCCAGTTTCAGAGCTCTTGTACTGAATCAGCGCGTCCACAACGGTGTCGGGCAGCAGAGCGTACGCGGCAATCTCGCAGCGGCATCTTAACTCGTATATCGCGCGCAATCAACGATTCGTTCCGGTGGTGCGGCGCGGGTTGGAGAGCGGGGAAGTGGGGGGATGGCATCGGCCCATTCTCACGTAAATAATTACCGGCGACTCTCAAATTACAAGGCGCCGCTACGGCCTGCCGATACATATTCATCACATGTTCGCGCCGCGCGTGACAGCTTCCTCAGGGCAGTGCAATGGGCCCCGCTCGGCCGCACCGGAGCGTTCGACCATCTCGTCCATCCGAGCTACGTGTTTTCTTCGATAAGTGAAATATCTTGGTTTCACTTTAAATGTTAATAGGCTAGTAAAGGTTCGAATTTACATGTGCACATTTATTTAGTTGTAACTGGGTGTAGTTATTCGTACTTCTGTAGTATCAAATTTTAATTTTATTAATATTAGTATTATAGTAATTAGTATTGCTACAACTCTACTCATATGATTATGCAAATCTTAAACATACAAAAAGTAACATAAATTTACTCAGGGAACTACACTAAACTATAAAGGGAGTCTACACAAACGTAACCGCACATTTTTTGTGAAGTGTTCCACACTATTTTCATATTTTCAATAGGTACACTAAGTGACTATTTTACAGAGAAGTTGTAAATTATATTTGTGCCACAAATTATAAATTGTACGAACTAACTTTGTAGTTGTACTATTCGCACTAACTTAACCATTTCTACATATACTTATTTAAAACTTCACTAAACATTCTATTATTAGTGTCATTGGAAACAGCTAAATTACGATACAACACAACAATACTACCTGTAAGAAAGTGACGAATTTAATAATGTGGAACTTATACTGGCCAGTACGGTTACTATTTAACAAGGGACTTTAAGGTAAAGTTGTAGTATGAAGTGTACGAAGGAGTATTGGCTAATGCTAGGTACTAGATACTTTATTCCATGTTATGTACTGATATACTACGATTGGATTCTGTATAGTTTATATCACTATACTTGCATATTCTGATCGTTAATAACTATAAATTTTCTCCATTATTTAAATATCTATAAATCTTGACACCATCAAGTGAGATGAATGTTTGTGGGCAACTTTACAAGGAGGATCATCAACGTCAATGAATTTCTAATTGGACATATCGCAATTCGCGCCGGATGTGGCTTAAGCGATAAATTATGCACTCTGAGAGAAGTACTAATTTTGATGCCGACAAATTTTCCACAACCGCGATTTTAATGCGTTTCAAATAATGTCTGTAGGCAACGTTAAATGATAAATCGTCGGAGAAACGCCCCGATTTGTGTTTAGTATAAATGATCGGAGGTCCTGCTCCTCTGGGATGGGAAGGAATAAGACGACGTCCTAAAAAAGGAATAGGTTAGGTGTGAGCGCGATGGTGTTGAGATAATAACAGTGCAGAGCGCGGTAATCTGCGTTTGCCTTTGAGCCGCCGCTTGCTGCTGAATAGCAACATTAGCCGAAATTTAAATATCCCGAACCGAAACGATTTCCAATTTAGCGATTCATTTCTCGTATGGGATACTAACTTATAAATACCTCGTGTAGTGAACGATGGTTGACTGCTCTAAATTGGTAATTAAAATATAAATAAACAAAAATACGTGTGGTATAATATGATTCATCAATAATAGCAAATATTTAGGAAGTATGAAAATATCACAGCGCCTTCCTAAAGTAACCAGAAATTGGTTTAGGCTCTAGAAATCCAAAAACACTTTTTTTTTATAAATACGTATAATATTTACTTATAATTAAATATATACATGTATATACGGTAGATTTGACATATCATAAGAGTCTGTAATAGAGTAAAGATATTTTGAATTTGAATTTGAATATGGTATATATTTAAATTACTATTCAAATGAATACTTATAAAAACATTTGGAGAAAAAAGTAACATTTAGAATTTTTGTTCCCTTTTAATCAGATAATTTAATTGGTAAGTTACAGTATGTAATTATATCTTATCTCTGCTTATAGTAAGACGTTTAGTTGTGGCTATGTTGTAAATGTCGTTTTGTTGACCCCGCTAAACTGATGAGACTATCCGTTAGGTACTATGTTGAATCCAAGAGTTTGGCAATATCTACATATGATACAGCGCTTTTGTACTTATAAGCTCACTTAGTGGATGGTCGCGTTGTGACAGTCAGGAATGTGTCGTGCGCCGGAAGACAGGGTTGGCGGGGCGTGACGGGCCGAGTAAAACAAACAAGTTAATTGTATTTATTCAAATGCGGGACGGGGGCCCGAGTGCAGCCGTCGCTCCTCATGAATAGGCATGCCGAGTTCGCCCGGCCTTCCTTGCTATGTGCACCGTCACCGTTCTACGCCCTTCTACATCCCAGTTTTGTATGATATATGCAAATTCTTTATGCAACCCTCTTATAAGTAAGGTACTGTAACGTATTGACGATTTAATATAGAACCGAAATTATTAATTTATATTATACCCTTCACATATAGGTACTAAACCGCAGGTTATAATCTAAAAATCGGCCTAATACGAACTCCATGCGAGTATCGATATTTATGTACTTTTTTTTGTAAAGTGTTTTTTTTAATGGATGATAATCGTGTGATGAACCATACGTTCCCCATACGACCAATTCCTTACATTACCTTTTAACTAGTAGTGTCCGGCCACGCTTTCTTTTCTCCTGTAAGTATTTTCATTAA